GTGGAGACGCAAGACAGGGAGACCGCGGTGGACACGCGCAGAGACAAGCCACGGGATGAGAACGTCAGGCGCGTCGGCCTTCCGCTCAAGGGGAAACACCGTGGTGTGGCGCGTGTAGTCGTCGACAAGCACTAGGAAGTAGCGCTCTCGACGCAGCCCATGGACGGGGGCGGGGCCCCTGACGTCCATGTGCAGAGTCTGTAGCGGTGCGGCGGTAGGGGGGAATGAGGAGGAGTGAGGGGCACGGCGGAGCCGGCCCTCGACACAGGGCGTGCAGGGTGGTGCTGGAGAGGAGGGCAACTTGGGGAACGACCTTGGGAGACCTAGGACAAGACCGTACTGGGACATGTGACACAGACGCGGGAGTGCGGGGTGACCTAGACGGTGGTGCCACTGGAGTGTCGGGTGAGTGAGCGAGCGACAGGAGCAGGCCGCAGCAACCTGGGTAGACGTAGCCATTTGAGAAAACGTCCCTACCAGGGGGGTCACGGTGTCTAGTGTGAATATGCCGGACACCGGGTCCCGAGGGAACGTGGTGAGGGTGGCACCAGTGGCGGCCTCGGTACAGACAGCGTACTGCTCGTCGCCAGGGAACGTAGTGGTGATGCCAAGGTCCTGGAGGCAGCCGACACCAACTAGGTTCCGGGAGAACTAGGGGATGTGCAGGCCTGTAAGAGAGCCCGAAGGAACCGCCGGACAAGGAAGGGTGGTGGAATTGCGAGCGACTACCGGGACGGAGGAGGGATCGGCAAGAGAAATCACAACAGGAGTAGCAAGAGGCGTCATCGTAGTAGAGTCACGGAAGAAACACCGAGAAGCGCCAGAGTCGAGGATGAAGGAGAGCGCAGCGGTGGCGTCGGAAGACAGAGCAGCGACAGTAGAACCTAGGCTTAACAAAGCAGGGGATCCTACACCTGACGCAGCAGGGGAGGCACGACTAGACACGCCTATACTAGGCAACGATGGGTAGTAAGAAGCAGTCACACTAGAGTCATCAGCATACATCACCTGCAGGGCAGCAACAATGTCATCCATGTCCATATCAAAGATCTGAACGCTACGGCGAAGCAAGCTATGCCAGTCGGGGAGGTCGGGCAACGGGCCGAAGCGCTGGCGAAACAGGTCGTCCAGGCGACGAAAACAGCGGACGGAGGTGTGACCGATCTTACCGCAAACAAAACCACGGCGAGGACCTGTCTAGAGCGGGTACTGACAGCGCGCGTCACCTGAACCGCCACTCGGCAGCCCACCACGCGCACGACCACCTCGTCCACCGCCACCACCAGCTCCAGGCCACCCGGGCGGGAGGCCACTCGCCCGCCTCTGCTGCTGCGGCTGCTGAGGCTGCAGCGAGGGCTGCTGCTGCGGCTGGTGCGTGTCTGGTTGCGGCACCTGCGGCTGCTGAGGCGGCTGCTCGGCTGCACCTGTCAGGGTCCCCTCGACGGCGCTACCACTAGGCGACCGGACTCCACCACCACCTCCATCTGCACCGCCACTCCCACCGCGGCGCCCAGCCTTTGGGCGGTGGCCCTTCCCGGAACGGATCTGCGCTGCAGCTACGGACTCAGCCACAGCAGAAAAACCGTCGGAGAAGGTGCACTGAGCGGGGGCACAACCCTGAAAGATAGGGACTGGCACAGCTGGTCTGGGCGATAGAGCGCTGGCGGGTCTCTATGGCAGTCAGGGTGTCAACAAAGTCAGTGAGGGTGAGGTTACCAGGGTGGGTGCTAAGGAAGTGGTCGCGGGCAGTAGCAAGGCGATCAAGGAGGCGGGTGGCCAGCAGGTAGAGGGCAGAGCACAGGGGCGGCTGAAAGACTCTAAGCTGGGTCTCAGTGCAGGCAGCACGCCAGGTCGCGTCTATTGTGCGCAGGTGAGCAACGAGGTCAGCGACAGTAGGGAAGGACGCAAGGTCAGAGAAGAGCATCTGTAGGATCAGGCGACCTACAGAGGCGGCAGGCGGGGTGGAATAGCGCTTGACGGCGGCCTCTAGAAACTCCTGCGCAGTCGTGACGGACCTAAAGCATGGGCGCTCAGACAGGGGGAGGGCATGACTGATCGCAAGCTGCGCGACAGCGTGACGTGACAGCCAAACTGAGCGGGCAAGGGCAGCAGCTGCGATGGACTCACGGTCAGCGGACGAGGGATCAGCGGGCAGGGGAGCAGGGGGGTCAGGGCAGGGGAGCGTACCGTCAAGGTGGACCGCCAGGGAGTGGCCGTCCTGCCCCTGACCAGTGAGGTGACGCCGGAGGTCGACCAGCCACGTGTCAAACTCGATCGGATGTCCCTCTGCGTCGAAGCGGAGCACGGAGGCCGCTATCAGGAGCGATGCAGCAGCAGCGCAAGACTATGCTGTGCAGAGCAGTGCACTGCGGTGCAGTGCGGTGTAGAGCGGTACAGCGCGGTGTAGTGCGGTGCTGTGCGGTACATCGCGGTGCAATGCGGTGCTGTGCGGTACAGTGCGGTGCAGTGCGGTGTAGGGCGGTGCCGGGCGGTGCAGTGCGGTGCTGGTCGAGAAGGACGGGCCGGGCACGAGGCAGAGGTGGGCTGGCGGCGAAACGAACGCGGGGCCGTCGCGGATCGGGCTTGTAGGGGCGCAAGGGGTCGGCTAGGAGCAGGCGCGACAGCTCAGAGGGCCGGCTAGGAACGGGCGCGACGGCTCAGAGGGCCGGCTAAGGCGGGCGCGACGGCTCAAGGGGCCGGCTGGGAGCGGGCGTGACGGCTCAGGGGGGGGCCATCTTGGACGGGCGCAATGGCTCAGGTGGCCGGCTAGGACGGGCGCGACGGCTCAGGGGGCCGGCTAGCGACGGGCGCGACGGCTCAGGGGGGGGGGGGGCGGCTAGCGACATGCGCGACGGTTCTGGGGTCGGCTAGGACGGACGCGACGGTTCAGTGGGCTAGCTAGGAACGGGCGCGATGGCTTAGGGGGGCCGGCTATGACGGGCGCGACAGCTCAGGGGGCCGGCTACGACGGGCGCGACGGCTCAGGGGGCCGGCTAGGAAGGGCGCGACGGCTCAGGGGGCCGACTAACGACGGGCGCGACGGCTTAGGGGGACGGCTAGGACGGGCGCGACGGCTCAGAAGGGGGGGGGGGGGGGGGGGGGGGCTAGCGACATGCGCGACGGCTCTGGGGTCGGCTAGGACGGACGCGACGGTTCAGGGGGCCAGCTAGGAACGGGCGTGACGGCTTAGGGGGGCCGACTATGACGGGCGCGACAGCTCAGGGGGCCGGCTACGACGAGCGCGACGGCTCAGGGCCGGCTAGGACGGGCACGACGGCTCAGGGGGCCGACTAACGATGGGTGCGACGGCTCAGGGGGCCGGCTACGACGGGCGCGACGGCTCAGGGGGCCGGCTAGCGACGGGCGCGACGGCTCAGGGGGCCGGCTACGACGGGCGCGACGGTTCAGGGGGCCGGCTACGACGGGCGCGACGGCTCAGGGGGCCGGCTAGGAACGGGCGCGACGGCTCTGGGGGCCGGCTAGGACGGATGCGACGGCTCAGGGGGGCGGCTAGGAACGGGCACGACGGCTCAGGGGGCCGGCTACGACGGGCGCGATGGCTCAGGGGGCCGGCGAGGACGGGCGCGACGGCTCAGGGGGCCGGCTAGCGACGGGCGCGACGGCTCAGGGGGCCGTCTACGACGGGCGCGACGGCTCAAGGGGGCGGCTAGCGACGGGCGCGACGGCTCAGGGGGCCGGCTACGACGGGCGCGACGGTTCAGGGGGCCGGCTAGGAACAGGCGCGACTAGCTAGGGGTGACGCGACGAGGGACTAGGGCGGAAGCGTGGGCGGCGGGACCTACCTACCAAGCGTGATACCATCTTAACGTAGAATAGAATGTCGAGTGAAAAACAGTGCAAGGGTATAAGCCTATGTATTGTACCCTCTAAGATACGAACCTATACACTCTATACAAACATAAACTATATATATGTTTGACAAGTACACTCGCTCCTCGTCTGTTGCCCAGTCTAGCTGTGAGGCCGAGATCTACGCCGGTACCATGGCTGCACAGGAGCTCCGCTGGCTGACCTTCTTGCTCGCCGACTTAGGTGAGTGGCCTAGCTCTGCCCTGGTTCTGTAAGCTGACAACAGGGCCATGATCCTCCTGTGTCAGGGGCATCGACTTGAGGGCAGAGCGAAGTACATCCAGCTGCGGTACTTCCTCATGCGCGAGCTACAGCAGCGCCGCCAGGCACGCGTAGTACACTTGGCCTCTAGTGCCAACACGGTTGATATCATTACGAAGGCGCTTGCACCTAAAGATCATCAGCGGCACTGTATACAGTTAGGTCTCATTCCTGTAGCCTCTCATTGTCTAGGGCCTTGATTGTGTACAGACCTATATATATATATATATATATATATATCTATATATCTATATATATATCGCCTGGAGCTTGAAAAAAAATATCGCCCCAGCCACAAAGGTGACGAAATTAGGCTGGCGCGGGCGGGAAAACGTTCCGAAATGGGCGAGGGTTACTTCTACTGACCATTCGTGGAAATGTTTTCCTGTAGTTTGTGACTAACGGTGGAACCCGACTAATGAAACATGTTGCGAACTCACTAATTCTGATTGTTTATATCGTGTCACTGACCGTACATGTTATCGAGGCCCCTAATACTGAGCGCCTATGTATTTTGGTCAGGCCATTCTGTGGGGGTTGCGACCAATTTCTAGGTTGTGGCAGGGGCTAGGCCTGGCTTCCGATTGGATGGCGTGGGTCTTGAGGGGAAACAACAACCCAACTGTCACTGTAGCCAGCTTTCATTTGGTACTGTCACAAACCCTGAGAACTTTCCAGCAAGTTATCCACCGGCCTAAAGAAATGTGCTAGGCAGTGGCTTCTCACTTCGCGTGTTCGGCGGCGTGTACGTGCAGAATGCACATCACGCCGCGGCTCGAGATGCGGCGCGCCGAAATTTTCCATCCATATCCCACATTCGTCAAATCCATAAATTCGACATTTCAGTGTCGAGAAAATCATTCGGCTCAGCCATCGTCGATTGACTGGAACAAGCTTCCTAAGCTCGCCAGTACTCCAGCCTCCACTGCCTGAACTCGCCAGAAAGGCCGTAATGGCTCAGAAACTCGCTGTTTTTGCAGTCACGTTGGCATGCCTCGCCGCAGTAGGTTAGTATTTGAGAAACCCTACGTGGTCAACCCCATTTCATGTCAAAATGCGTCATTTCTCATGGGTACACTGAATGAGAGAGTGTTTTTGTCAGAGAGCGCAAAAGCTGACGCATTTTTCTCTCATGAATGCGCTCGCAGGATTCGCGCGTCCGGGCATGCGCACTCAGCTGCAGAAGATCCACACGAACGACGTGTTCCTGGGCACGTACCAGGGCTCGCTCTACGCTGAGCTGGACCACGTGGACGGCGCCAGCAAGGTCTCAGACGGCTACGCCTACATGGCAATCTACAAGTAAGATAGCACGAGCAGAAATCATTTCGTGTCTCCCAAATGGTTTGATGTCTCTTAAAACACGCCCTCGCGTAATCGTTTCTGCGCTGGTTCGTTTTTCCTCTCACGATTACTGCAAACGGGCAAAATTAGAGTGATGCGTTTTCGCAATTTGCACGCAATCATGCACCATTTTTAGCGGGAATCGATGATTGATTTTACCCAAACGTGGCGATTCCGTGAGCAGAAAGGACGACGACTACAACATCCGCTTCGGCGCCGAGTCCGAGACGAAGGAGCCCGGGGAGCCCACCGCGTTCACCGTCAATAACGCGGCCGACAATAGCGTGGTTATCGACTTGGCCGCAGGGCAAGCGTACAAGAACACCACGTATGAACTGCGCGTGTTCAAGTTCCTCCAGAAGTACATCCCCTACGAGTACCGGTTCAAGGGCAAGTGGACCGGGGCCAGCACAGTTACCGTCGGCGCTGGCACTCTCAAGGACGCCATTGATGCGATGATCCAGACTCCAACAAACTACTACGCGATTTTCAACACCGCGACGTACCCTGCTGGCTGCGCTAAGGGCGAGTTCGAGTTCATCAAGCCGTGGTGGAAGCGCTTGTAAGCTTAGGTCTCAACAGGCAGGGGCCAGTGGGTGGTTATTGTTGGATGATGTTGATTGGTGGGGAGACTAGGTGTGGTTGGTTAGTTTGATAGAGAAATGCTGAGTATATGTTCACTTACTTGATGAACCATTCCCCTACATTTGTAGATTGGGGTTTCTGTTGGTGGGCTGTAAGCAAGCATCTTACCGTACCAGTCGAACATGACGTTGAAATCCCAGTAGTTTCTATTGCTCTTCGAAGCAGTGAACAGAAAACTAACAGAATTGGAAACTAGGTACTACCGTACCATTGGACGAGGTAGGGTTGGGTAAGATGTTGCAGCTCTGCAAATATTCCTAGCATCCAGTCATATTACTTGTTCACCAACTTTCTCAAGTTCATGAACCAGCACCATAATCCAGCACCACAGAAACCCTGTTTCTTCAGGCTGTATGCTGCTACACCATGTCTTTCCTTCAGGCAGAGTTGCATATTAAAGGTTGTACAGAAAGGTTGAACTGGTCAGAAGAATCAGCAGACCAAGAATACCGTACGAGGGTCTTTTGCTAATGTTGGGCAACATGTGTTGCTTTAAGACTTGAGCGGAAAACACGTTTCACATTCAAAAGCAAATGGCAGATTTGCCGGTCCAGGTAGATTTGCGGGGAATGGCAGGTGTGCCTTAATGTTTGGGGCTCCCACCCAGTATGCTTAGAGGGGGAGGTTGTCGTGCTTCTTGGGGGGGTTCTTCAGCTCCTGTTGCCAAGAATCGAGGGCAGGAAACAGGGGTAGAGGAGGGGCCCACATGCGAGAGGGTATGGTGAGTTTCTTAGAGGGGAAGGTTGTCGTGCTTCTTGGGGGGGTTCTTCAGCTACTGTTTCCAAGAACCAGGGGCAGGAAACACAGACGCAGAAAAGCAGCGAGGCAGTAAGGCAGCACTCTCTGGCTTCTTGCAAACACAGGAAATTCGGTCGTGTCACCCAAAAGCCGCATGCGGACTGACCGGGAATCCATGATCAACACACCTGCAGGAAGAACATCATGGCATTCACAATGCCCCTGGCGACTCTCTCGGCTTTCACACCCTATCAGGGGACAGGGAGGTACACACCTTGCTTCTGAGGTGGTCCTGCTCCCAGCGCAATAGCTTTCTGGTGCCTGGGGGAATGATCACTACACACCTTTACCACCTTCGTATGTGCATCAGGAGACAGGACCTTGCTTCTGAGGCGGTCCAGCTCCGGGCGCAGCAGCTTGTGGGTGTCCTGGGGCATGATCACGGCATCAACATACCCAGCACTGCTGACCCCCGTACACACACTCATGAGGCGTACCTTGGTTCTGAGGCGGTCCAGCTCGCGGCACAGCATCTTGCGGGTGTCCTGGGGCATGATCACAGCGTCCACGAACCCAGCGCTGGCAGCCGAGTACGGGTTGGCAAACTTCTGCACATACTCCTCCGTCTGCGCCTCCTTGTCCTTCTGCCCGCGGAACAGAATGCCCGCCGCTCCCTGTGGTGGAAAAGGGTGGAAGTCGTGGAGGTGAAATAGTGAGATAGGAGGAAGAACACTCCTTGAGTACGGGTTGGCAAACTTCTCCACAGAATGCCCGCCGCTCCCTGTGATATGGGTGGCGAGGGATGGTGGGACAGTGGAACGCATGTGAGTGCGTGGTCTGTGGGGTTCAAGTCTCCACGCACTCCTCCGTCTGGGCCTCCTTGCCTTTTTGCCCGCAGAACAGAATGCCCGCCGGCCCCTGTGATATGGGTGGCGAGGGATGGTGGGACAGTGGAATGCATGTGAGTGCGTGGTCTGTGGGGTTCAAGTCTCCACGCACTCCTCCGTGGGCTTTCGTGTCCGTCTGCCCGCAGAACAGAATGCCCGCCGCTCCCTGTGGACGGGACAGGCGGGCAGGGAAGAAGCTAGGAATGGAGGGATGGAAAGAGGAGGAAAGGGAGGATACGAATGGGGCAGAAACTTCCAAACATGAGCCTATTTGGTCACCTTGGCCCCCATCTGCTTACCTTGGCGCCCATCTGCTTACCTTGGCGCCCATCTGCTTCCCTTGGCGCCCATCTGCTTACCTTGGCACCCATCTGCTTACCTTGGCAGCCATCTGCTTACCTTAACATCCATCTGCGTACCTTGGCTGGCACCCATCTGCTTACCTTGGCACACATGTGCTTACCTTGGCACCCATCTGCTTACCTTGGCACCCATCTGCTTAAAGCCACAGTACACATTCACGGAAATGTACAAAAATGAACACTGACAACGGGGAACGGTTGTGCCGATTGGGTAGCGGGGCTGGCGAACGTGAGGGTAAAAGCGACGGATCTTGATTGGTTCGTAGCCTGCTATTTTTCTTCACACTTGTGAGCTGCTATTGGGACAAATGCGGCGAGTGTAAACATTCGCATCTTGCGCAGGGGTTGGGACGAAATTGGGGGGGGGAGGACGAATGACAGGGGCGGGCAGGGAAGCAAATGTGTAAACATTCGGGATTGTGGGGTGCGTGGAAACAAAATGGTGGGGCGGGGGGAACGCGTGACAGGCGCGGGGAGGAATGAAACAGAGGGAACGGGGGAGTAACGGTTTTGCGGGGCGGGGGTACACAGCCGCCTTGCGAGAATGAGGGATTTGCAGTCCACAAATCCCACATTCCGCTCGATCGACCTGTTTTTCACGATGGGCGAGGACAAATTTTCAACAGACCACGTTACGCTGTAATCAATGTCCCAATGTTTATTGTTTGAAAATAATTTAGGGAATGTGTACCGCGGCTTTAACTTCGCACTCATCTGCTTACCTTGGCTTCCATCTGGTTACCTTTGCACCCATCTGCTTAACTTCGCACTCATCTGCTTACCTTGGCACCCATGACAGCGATTTCAGCAGAGGGCCATGCGAAGTTGGCGTCTCCACGCAGATGCTTGGAGCTCATGACTGGGAGGGAAGGAAAGTGGAGGGGAGGGGAGGGGAGGGGAGGGGTACGGGGGGAAGTGAGGGAAGGGGAGAGGGAGGGGAGAGGGAGGGGAGAGGGAGGGGAGAGGGAGGGGAGAGGGAGGGGAGAGGGAGGGGAGAGGGAGGGGAGAGGGAGGGGAGATGAGAGGGCCATGCGAAGTTGGCGTCTCCACGCACATGCTTGGACCTCATGACTTCATGGCGGCGTTTCATGACTTCATGGTGGCGTTTCATGACTTCATGGCGGCGTTTCATGACTTCATGGCGGCGTTTCATGACTTCATGGTGGCGTTTCATGACTTCATGGCGGCGTTTCATGACTTCATGGCGGCGTTTCATGACTTCATGGCGGCGTTTCATGACTTCATGGCGGCGTTTCATGACTTCATGGCAGCGTTTCATGACTTCATGGCGGCGTTTCATGACTTCATGGCGGCGTTTCATGACTTCATGGCGGCGTTTTATGACTTCATGGCGGCGTTTCATGACTCCATGGCGGCGTTTCATGACTTCATGGCGGCGTTTCATGACTTCATGGCGGCGTTTCATGACTTCATGGCGGCGTTTCATGACTTCATGGCGGCGTTTCATGACTTCATGGCGGCGTTTCATGACTTCATGGCGGCGTTTCATGACTTCATGGCGGCGTTTCATGACTTCATGGCGGCGTTTCATGACTTCATGGCGGCGTTTCATGACTTCATGGCGGCGTTTCATGACTTCATGGCAGCGTTTCATGACTTCATGGCGGCGTTTCATGACTTCATGGCGGCGTTTCATGACTTCATAGCGGCGTTTTATGACTTCATGGCGGCGTTTCATGACTCCATGGCGGCGTTTCATGACTCCATGGCGGCGTTTCATGACTTCATGGCGGCGTTTCATGACTTCATGGCGGCGTTTCATGACTTCATGGCGGCGTTTCATGACTTCATGGCGGCGTTTCATGACTTCATGGCGGCGTTTCATGACTTCATGGCGGCGTTTCATGACTTCATGGCGGCGTTTCATGACTTCATGGCGGCGTTTCATGACTTCATGGCGGCGTTTCATGACTTCATGGCGGCGTTTCATGACTTCATGGCGGCGTTTCATGACTTCATGGCGGCGTTTCATGACTTCATGGCGGCGTTTCATGACTTCATGGCGGCGTTTCATGACTTCATGGCGGCGTTTCATGACTTCATGGCGGCGTTTCATGACTTCATGGCGGCGTTTCATGACTTCATGGCAGCGTTTCATGACTTCATGGCGGCGTTTCACGACTTCATGGCGGCGTTTCATGACTTCATGGCAGCGTTTCATGACTTCATGGCGGCGTTTCATGACTTCATGGCGGCGTTTGGGCACCGCAGCCTCCGCATTCACCTAGAGCAGCTTGCCTCTAATTCTTGAGGTGGCTAAGTACACAGCAGGTAGCCTCTGATTTTTTAGGCGCCTATTAATACAGCGGCTAGCCTTGGTAGTTCATACTACGATCTACAGATTCCACCATTACACTGATAAAAAGCCACGTACCATCATAAGCGCCACCATACGCCTTGCGAGTGATGACCGTCACTTTGGGCACTGTGGCCTCTGCATACGCGTACAGCAGCTTGCCTCCGTGCCTGATGATGCCGCCGTGCTCCTGCTTCGTGCCTGGAAGGAGGGGAAAGAGAGGTGAGGAGGAAAGGAGGAGAGAGCCGAGGGGTGAGAAGGATGATAAGCAGAGGGGAGACGAAAGGAGACGGACAGACAGATGGACAGACGGCCTCTGCGTACGCTTCCAGCTGCTTGCCACCGTGCTCCTGATTTGTGCCTGGGAGATCAAGAGAAGGGAGAGGTGGAGTAAGAGAAGAGGAGTAAAAGGAGGGGAAGATAGGGAGCTTATGCTAGGTTTTTGGGGCGCTCGGACAGAAAGGGCGGCCCTCAAAAGTTACCCTTAAAATAACGGTTCAGGAAAAATCGTCCCAGAAAAAAAAAGAGCTTGCACGAAAACCACTCATAGGAGTCGAACAATACTTCCCTAGGGATACAGAAATTGCACGACCACTGAGGCAGTCGGTAGGGATCGGTAAGGCCTCCATTTATCACACGCGCAACAAAATCCCCAGGCATGACATTGTGCCTTAGCATTAACCTAGACACACTTCGTCTCTGAGACAACAGATTCGAGGCTGGAAAATTGGTTTGCTTTGTGACCACGCAAGAGTGAGACAAGGCAGAGAGGGGCGAGTGAGAGGGAGGGACAAAATTGCTACAGATTGGGGAAATATGATGGGTGTGGAATGACAAACCCAAGGGGGTGGGGTGGGGGGCAGGGACGGGGGTGGGGAGGCGGGGGGGGGGGGGGGGGGGGGGGGGGGGGTAGAGCTAAAAAGAAACGGATTTTTCCTGAAAAATCTCCGTACAGAAAAAGTGGCGCCTAAAACAGCCCTGAACTCTACGGGAGGGTTTTCACCAGACCCTTTGAGTTACAGGGCCCAGCCGCAATTTGCCTTGAAAATCAGTTAAAAACGGGCATTCACCCTGTTAGCATAAGCCCACTTCAGGATAAGACATGAATCACATCCTACCTGGCATGGATCGTAACTCACCTGGCATGGATGAAATCGTTCCTGGCATGATGAAACCGTACCTGGCATGGATGAAACCGTACCTGGCATGAACCCAGGCACGTCCACGAAGGTTACGAGAGGGATGTTGAAGCAATCGCAGAAGCGCACAAAGCGAGCCGCCTGGGGTGGGCAGAGGGGGTAGGAGAGAGAGGGAGTTTTGATGGGAGTGTAAGAGCCTTTCCTTGCCTTGACAGGCATCGATGTACACTGATAGAAGGTTTCTTAGGTTGAGGCAAGGTAAACAGCAGAACATCAGAAGAAGCACCAGTATTGATACACCCTGCCTGCTCAGGTGAATCTGCATGCACGGTGCGCAGCAGTACCTTGACAGGGACGTCGATCTCGATGCACCCTGCCTGGTAAGTTGATTTCGAATGGACCATAGAAGCAGCAGATATGATGATGAACAGTAGTACCTTGACAGATGCGTCGATGTCGATGCACCCTGCTTGCTCCATGGGCTGGTTGGCCACCACTCCCACTGTGCCTCCATCCATGCGCTGGTGTTGAGGGGGGGGAGAGACAGAGGCATGGACATTGGAGATGAGAGGAGAATAGGCGACTCACACACATGCACACACACATGCACACACACATGCGTTCACACATGCGGGCACAGATGTGGGCACACATGCGGGCACACATGCACACATGCTACATGGGCTGATTCGACACCATTCCCACTGTGCATCCATCCATGCGCTCATGTTGATGGTGATGCGAGAAGGGACACACTTAAGCAGACCCGTTTGAGACATGAAACGTGAGAACAGAGAAATGGTACCAGCCACTTTCCATCCTAATGGCTGATTCTCATTATTGACATACACCATATCAATATATATAAGCATATAATCACACACTGATGCGTAAGTAGATCATATTCTTACCGCAAAGCCAACGATCATGTTCTTGCCGAACTCAGGCTGCAGCTCGTAGAACTGACCCGCATCCACAACCTGCCATCAGGGGGGCAAAGAGCGCACAGTACACACGCACAGGGAAGTTTTAAGAGCGGACTCAGTAACCATGCTCAGGCTGCAGCTCGTAGAACTGACCCGCATCCACAACCTGCCATCAGGGGGGCAAAGAGCGCACAGTACACACGCACAGGGAAGTTTTAAGAGCGGACTCAGTAACCATGCTCAGGCTGCAGCTCGTAGAACTGACCCGCATCCACAACCTGCCATCAGGGGGGCAAAGAGCGCACAGAGGCACAAGCACAGGGAAGTTTTCAGAGCGGACTCAGTAACCATGCTCAGGCTGCAGCTCGTAGAACTGACCCGCATCCACAACCTAACAATGGGGGAGCCATTGGGGGCAGGTATTGGAGGTTTAAGGGCAGAATGTCAGGGGAGGTATGCCAATAGTAGCACTGGTAACACATGGGAAGTGACAACTCCACAACAGGGCCTTCACAGGTGAACCACCCCTGGATATATCGCACGCACCCCACCCACCCATACCTCACCCATACCTCTCCTACCATACACTCGCTTGCCCTACCCGCCGTGCTTGCTCTCACCTTAGCAATCATCCCCATCATATCATAGGCCACGACATTCTATGGCCCACCCATGCTAGCCCCACCCATGCTTGCCCCACCCATGCTTGCCCCACCCATGCTTGGCCTACCCATGCTTGGCCTACCCATGCTTGGCCTACCCATGCTTGGCCTACCCATGCTTGGCCTACCCATGCTTGGCCTACCCATGCTTGGCCCACCCATGCTTGGCCTACCCATGCTTGCCCCACCCATGCTTGGCCTACCCATGCTTGGCCTACCCATGCTTGGCCTACCCATGCTTGGCCCACCCATGCTTGGCCTACCCATGCTTGGCCTACCCATGCTTGGCCTACCCATGCTTGGCCTACCCATGCTTGGCCCACCCATGCTTGGCCTACCCATGCTTGCCCCACCCATGCTTGGCCTACCCATGCTTGGCCTACCCATGCTTGGCCTACCCATGCTTGGCCCACCCATGCTTGGCCTACCCATGCTTGGCCTACCCATGCTTGGCCTACCCATGCTTGGCCCACCCATGCTTGGCCTACCCATGCTTGGCCTACCCATGCTTGGCCTACCCATGCTTGGCCTACCCATGCTTGGCCCACCCATGCTTGGCCTACCCATGCTTGGCCTACCCATGCTTGGCCTACCCATGCTTGGCCTACCCATGCTTGGCCCACCCATGCTTGGCCTACCCATGCTTGGCCTACCCATGCTTGGCCTACCCATGCTTGGCCTACCCATGCTTGGCCCACCCATGCTTGGCCTACCCATGCTTGGCCTACCCATGCTTGGCCTACCCATGCTTGGCCTACCCATGCTTGGCCTACCCATGCTTGGCCTACCCATGCTTGGCCTACCCATGCTTGGCCTACCCATGCTTGGCCCACCCATGCTTGGCCTACCCATGCTTGGCCTACCCATGCTTGGCCTACCCATGCTTGGCCTACCCATGCTTGGCCCCATGCTTGGCCTACCCATGCTTGGCCTACCCATGCTTGGCCTACCCATGCTTGGCCTACCCATGCTTGGCCTACCCATGCTTGGCCCTACCCATGCTTGGCCTACCCATGCTTGGCCTACCCATGCTTGGCCTACCCATGCTTGGCCTACCCATGCTTGGCCTACCCATGCTTGGCCTACCCATGCTTGGCCTACCCATGCTTGGCCTACCCATGCTTGGCCTACCCATGCTTGGCCCACCCATGCTTGGCCTACCCATGCATGGCCTACCCATGCTTGGCCTACCCATGCTTGGCCTACCCATGCTTGGCCTACCCATGCTTGGACTACCCATGCTTGGCCTACCCATGCTTGGCCTACCCATGCTTGGCCTACCCATGCTTGGCCTACCCATGCTTGGCCTACCCATGCTTGGCCTACCCATGCTTGGCCTACCCATGCTTGGCCTACCCATGCTTGGCCTACCCATGCTTGGCCTACCCATGCTTGGCCTACCCATGCTTGGACTACCCATGCTTGGCCTACCCATGCTTGGCCTACCCATGCTTGGCCCACCCATGCTTGGCCTACCCATGCTTGGCCTACCCATGCTTGGCCTACCCATGCTTGGCCTACCCATGCTTGGCCCACCCATGCTTGGCCTACCCATGCTTGGCCTACCCATGCTTGGCCTACCCATGCTTGGCCTACCCATGCTTGGCCTACCCATGCTTGGACTACCCATGCTTGGCCTACCCATGCTTGGCCTACCCATGCTTGGCCTACCCATCAACCCATGCCTCCCCACCTTCTCAATGATCCCCATCATGTCATACGCCACGTTGGGGTCGCGTGGGACAACACTCGCCTTACCTGCACTAGACCCACCCCTGCTTGCACCCACCCCTGCAAGCACCCACCTTCTCGATGATCCCCATCATGTCATACGCCACGTTGGGGTCGCGTGGAACAGCAAACTCCAGAGCAGGCACTTCGCGGTTGCTGGGATCAGCACAAAGACGGGGAGGGGGAGGGAAGGGGGGGGGGAGACTTTTTCCAGGGGAGGAACAGCGAACTCCAGAGCAGGCACTTCGCGGTTGCTGGGTTCAGCACAGAGACGGGGAGGGGGAGAGGGCGGGGGGGGGGGGGGGGGTGTGGGGTGTGTGTGGGAAACCGTTCTGGCGAAGGGGAGGAACAGCAAAGGGGGGTTGGAGAAGGGTTGGGAGGGAAAATGAGGATGAAAAGTGCCTTGTGGTAGGCAGCACGTGGCGGGGCAAATAGTTCAAAATAATAATTGGCAAATCTTTTATTTGTTTCAGGCGATGGAAACGGGTGTCCTGAGGGGCTTACGGGGGGTCAAAGTTGATTCGGCGGGGCGGCTGCTCCTTGAAGCTGAGAGGCAGGAAGTCAAAAAGGTCGCGCACCCTGAGAGGGAGGAGGCGTGGGGAGGGGGAGGGGAAAGAGACGAGGTGCATGTGGGATGGACGTAGGGGGGTGGGAAGTTAGAGTGACACCGATGGCTGCTCCTTGAAGCTGAGAGGCAGGAAGTTAAACAGGACGCGCACCCTGGGAGGAGGGGGGAGGAGCAGAAGGGACGAGACGTATGAAACGTACGGAGAACACAGAGGTACGACCCCTGTCAAAGAGGTCCCGCACTCTGAAGGGGGTGGGTTGGGGGGAATGAGAATGGACGAGGTGCATATGGGATGGATTAAGGCACAATGCGATGGGTAGCACAGGGTAGCTTCAATGATTGGGCCACAATAATTGAAGCTGAGAGGCAGGAAGTCAACGAGGTCATGCACTCTGAGAAGGGAGGGGAGGGGGGAGGGGGAGACGAGAAAGGACGAAGTGCATATGGGATGGAATGAGAAGGGACGAGGTGCGTGAGTGAGACGCATGGACAGAGGTTGGTTGAGGGTTATTGAAACGCACTGGAGTTGGTTCCTAACAATCAGGTCTGAATGCTGAACCAGTTACACCAAGTACAAGCCTCTACACCCCTTTACAGGCCTACACAGCGTGCACATCAGAACGTACGCAGTGCGGCACGGGTCCGTATACTATCAGGTCATATCTCACTCATGGGCACGCGGCTTACCTTGCGAGCGCATCGAGCTCGTTGTCGAACGCCATGTGCACCACGCCCGACTTGGTGTGCGCCTCTGCGCCCCCCAGTTGCTCCTGTATGCGTGAGGCGATCAATGGAGTGGATGAGGAGGTGGTGGTGGTGGTGGTGGGGGTGGGGTTGTGTGAGGAGTCTATTCTTGAGACGCCTCAAAAATAGGAGCCCGACTTGGTGTGCGCCTACGCCCAACCCAGTTTCTCCTGTGTGCGTGAGGCGATCAATAGAGTGGGTTTGGGGGTGGTGGTGTGGGTGGGGGTGTGGGTGGGGGTGTGTATAGGGGTGTGGGTGGGGGTGTGGGTGGGGGTGTGGGTGGGGGTGTGGGTGGGAGTGTGGGTGGGGTGTGGGTGGGAGTGTGGGTGGGGTGTGGGTGGGGGTGTGGGTGGGGGTGTGGGTGGGGGTGTGGGTGGGGGTGTGGGCGGGGGTGTGGGTGGGGGTGTGGGTGTGGGTGTGGGTGGATGAAAGGACCAACGCTAGGGACAGTATCTGTCAGCATGATTACAGTGTAGAGCGCGACAGAGTACCCTATAACGGACCTGAGTGACTTATAACGCACGTGGTTGCTCTTATAACGCACGTGGTTGCCCTTATAACGCACCTGGTTGCCCTTAAAACGCACCCGAGTGACCTTGTAACGCACCTGAGTGACTAGTACCGCACCTGGTCGCTCTTATAACGCACCTGAGTGACCTCCTCGTATGTCACTTGCCGCACCACGTCAGGGCCAGTCACAAACATGTGCGACGTGCCCTTCATCTGTTGGTCCAAGGGTCACAACAGCGAGAGGATATGAGAGGAGTTGTGTCAGTCATGCTCGAAAACACCATGTCAGGGCCAGGCCACTCGCGAACATGTGCGCCGTGCCGTGCCCTTCATCTGTAGGCCAGAAGGGACGCGAGGAGTGAAGTGAGAGGAGTTCAGTGTGAGCGGATGGAAGGCGCCTCAACGTGCGACGTCGGGGCCAGTGACGAACATGTGCGACGTGCCCTTCATCTGTTGGCGAAAAGGGACGCGAGGGGTGGTGTGAGAGGAGTTCGGTGTGAGTGAATTGAGGCGCCTGAAATCAAACATCCGCCGGTTTCCTAATTGGGGTGTGTGTGTGTGTGTGTGTCTGTGTGTGCGCGCGCGCGCATGCGGATGTGTGTGCACGTGTGTACATCTCCCATCTCACCATGATGACAAAGTCTGTGAGGCCAGGCGAATACACGGCACCACCTGCATACGACTCAACAGGGAACAAGCACCGAGAAGCACACATACACACAAGGACGCAGGAGCACACAGAAAGAAATGAAGAAGGATAAGATGAGGGAATGACACATACACACATACATACACACACACACACGCACGCACGCACGCACGCACGCACGCACGCACGCACGCACGCACGCACGCACGCACGCACGCACGCACGCACGCACGCACGCACGCACGCACGCACGCACGCACGCACGCACGCACGCACGCACGCACGCACGCACGCACGCACGCACGCACGCACGCACGCACGCACGCACGCACGCACGCACGCACGCACGCACGCATACATACATACATACATACATACATACATACATACATACATACATACATACATACATACATACATACATACATACATACAGCTACACAACAAGTGGGTGGGTGGGGACAGACGGACGGACGGGCGGGAGGGGGTGGGTGGGTGGGGGGGGAGGAGGGGGGAGCCTGGGGTGGTGTGCGGTTGGAAGGAGGGTGAGGTGGTTCATGTAGGGTAAGGTGGGGAGCGGTAAAAGGGGGTGATGAGCGGTATAAGGTGAGGGATGGTAGTGCAAGAAGGGGAGGAGCAACTGTACCTGCGCATGGACCATGATGAGCGCACCAGGAGAGGGTGAGGAACAACAGAAGCGACAAGCATATCACAAGAGGCTGCAGAGCGGTGCAAAAGGGTACAGGGCGGTACCTGCGCATGGTCCCATGATGAGTGAGATCTGGGGAATGACGCCTGATGCCAGCACATTGAGCTGAGCGGTAAGGGCAGGGGATGGGGAGGGGAAGGGGAGGGGACCGGGAGGGGACGAGGACAGGAAGGGGAGAGAAGGGGAGAGAAGGGGAGAGAAGGGGAGAGAAGGGGAGAGAAGGGGAGAGAAGGGGAGAGAAGGGGAGAGAAGAGAGACGTGGGTATGTTGAGGACAGGGTACCTCCGGTGCCGGCGCATGGCCCCAAGTTGTGTCTGAGGAATGACTCCGGATGCCAGCCCACTCAGCCTCAGCTAAACGGGAAGGCAACGAGAAAGGAGCTGAGAGGGAAAAGCCAGCAGGTTGAAATGGGCAAGGAGGGGGGGGGGGGAGGAAGGGAGAGCGAAGCAAGAGAAAGGAGAGAGACGCGTGACTCATGACACATGGCAGAAGAAGTAAACGAAAACAGCAGCATGCTCGGCTGAAGAGGGGGGGAGGAGGAGGAGCACGGATGGTACCTGGAAGACCTTGGCGTAGCCACTGAGGGAAGTGCACTCCCTCCTGAACGCTGCTTTAGAGCCCCTCAAAGGCACTAAGAGGAGCAAGGGCAGCAAGGGCAACGCGGATGGTACCTGGAAGACCTTGGCGTAGCCACTGAGGGAATGCACTCCCTCCTGAACGCTGCTTTAGAGCCCCTCAAAGGCACTAAGAGGAGCAAGGGCAGCAAGGGCAGCAAGGGCAGCAAGGGCAGCAAGGGCAGCAAGGGCAGCGCGGATGGTACCTGGAAGACCTTGGCGTAGCCACTGAGGGAGTGCACTCCCTCCTGAATGCGAGCCCCTCCCGAGTCATTCAGGCCGATCACCTGAGAGAGGAAGGGAGGGAGATGCAGGGAGAAGTGCATGAATCCATGCACTCGGGAGAACGGGTGAGAGTGTGTAGGGGAGTGTGGGAGGTGCGAGTGGGCCCTCGCACGATTTAGCGTCGAGAGAATGTGCATGAGGTGTGCATGCACGCGAGGGGTTAGAGTGCTGGCGAGCGAGATTGGATGGGGTTGTGGGAGAGAGCGCCCATGTGGGAGAGAGCGAGCGTGTGGGGGGGTGAGCATGTGGGAGGGTGAGCGCATGTGGGAGGGTGACCATGTGGGAGGGTGAGCGCATGTGGGAGGGTGAGCGCATGTGGGAGGGTGAGCGCATGTGGGAGGGTGAGCGCATGTGGGAGGGTGAGCATATGTTGGACGCTGAGGGAGTGCGTTTTAGAATAGATCGAATGAAAAGGGCATGTCGGAGCATGCATGTCGAGTCTGCTTTTGAGTCGACTCAAAAGTAGATCGGATGAAAAGAGTATGTCTGAGCATGCATGCATGTAGAGAGTGTGACAGAGGAGAGAAGAGAGTGCGAAGCAGGGGAGGAGAGAGTGCGATGGGGTGGGTGGGAGGAGAGCTTAATTGACTCACAGGTGCTCCAGCCTTCATGGCCTTCTCCATAACCTGCCACGTGAGAGAGAGGCAACGAAGAATAGAGAGGAGGAAAGGGGAAGAGGGGGAGAGGTGCGAATGAGCAGCAGAGGAGAGCAAAGAGTGGCCTTTGAGGCCCCCCAAAGTGATCCAGCCTTCCATGGCCTTCTCCATAACCTGCCACGTGAGAGAGAGGCAGCGAAAGCAGGGAGATGGAGAGGAGCAAAGGGAGTAAGGGCAGGGGGCAGGGATGAGCAGCAGGGGAGAGAGCGATTGGTCTGAGCAGATTAAAAAAAAAAAAAGAAATGCTGAGCGATTGGTCTGAGCAGCATTGCAGGGAAAAAAGAAAAGAGAAAAAAACTGTGAGATGTTTTGAGGCGTGAAGGCAAGGAGAAGGGAGACGTAACAGCAGGGATGTAACAGCGGGGATGTAAAAGCAGAGATGAAACAGCAGAGATGTAACAGCGGGGATGAAACAGCAGAGATGTAACAGCAGAGATGTAACAGCGGGGATGTAACAGCAGAGATGTAACAGTAGGGCTGGCCCCACCTTGATAATCTTGGCAGCATGCGTCTCTGACAGACTGCCTCCAAGCACTGTGAAGTCCTGGCTGAAGAGGAACACCAGCCTGCAGTGCAGATACGATGACAAGCGACAAAACAAAGAGCCAATGAGAGCACCACCACAGTGCCGGTATAACAAGGAAAGAAGGAGAAAGACGCAGGTAAGAAAAGAAAATGCGCGGCAGAGGGCAACCCAGGCAGTGTGGAAAATACTGGCTGCCAGGAACGGACTTTTGAGTTGACTCAAAAGTCACCTATGAAAATACTGGCTGCCAGGAACAGGGGCCGACTGGGTGAAACGAGACAGAGTATACAATACAGGGTTCCTAGAAAAGGGAGAGAGGAGGGGACGTGCGAGGTCAGGGGACGGCTTGGGTGCACACCTGCCGTTGATGGTTGCACTGCCAGTGACAACACCTGAGGCCATGACGTGTCATTCCATGCCATGACGTTTCATTCCATGCCATGGCGTTTCATTCCATGCCATGGCGTTTCATTCCATGCCATGGCGTTTCATTCCATGCCATTCGATGCCATGAAATCCCATGGCATTCCATTCCATACAATATCAGCCCATTCCATCCCGTGTCAGTTCATGTGGTCCCATCCCATCCCATCCCATCCCATCCCATCCCATTCCATCCCATTCCATTCGGTCGGTCAGCCAAGCAAAGTCCAGAGTGAAGTGAGGAATGAAGAAATGCAGTTGCTGCGAACAGCGGGTATCTCATGAGCACCATCATCATCAAGCATGGCACCCTGCCTTTAAGAGCAGCACTCAACTCCTCTCACCTACTCGACAACACTCCATCGCTTTCGTGAATGAAAGGAACACTGGGGAGTTCAAGGCGGCAGGAGTGATTCCTGGTGTGATCGAATACGTACCATCGCCAGGGATGTGAGTCTTGTCCATGCCAAAGTCATGGCAGCGGTGCTCCACCAGCATGTCTGCAACAGAGAACAGAGCAACGCATCAGCACAGCATGGATGCGTTGCTTTGTTCACTGGGATTGTGACTCAAATCACAAGTCATGGCAGGCAGTGGCGCACCAGCATGTCTGTACCAGAGAAAGTGGAATCGCGTAGCACGAATGCGTCATATCATATTGTATCATACCAAATCATCACAAGGCACAGATAAAAGAGGACAATACACCCAACAGGCTCTAACAGAATCACAGCCCCTAATAACGCTCCTGGAAATCGAAACTGCTACAAGCATGCTGACTCCTGTCCTGAGTCTACCTTCCACAAGAGCAGCACTCACCGAGCTCCTCAAACGACCCCGGATCCACCAGCACTTGAATCCTCTCCCGCGCTGTCAGCTGCCAGCAGGGGAGAAGCAAACAGGCATGCAGACATGGGAATCACATGAGAGCGAAGCCTTTCCGCTGGTAAGGTATAAGTCTAGTTTTGTGTCTGATGCCTGCAGCAGAGGAGAAGCAAACAGGCACGCAGACATGGGAATCACATGAGAGCGAAGCCTTTCCGCTGGTAAGGTATAAGTCTAGTTTTGTGTCTGCTGCCTGCAGCAGAGGAGAAGCAAACAGGCATGCAGACATGGGAATCACATGAGAGCGAAGCCTTTCAGCTGGTAAGGTCCGGCAGGTACAGTCTGCAAAGGAGGACGACTCAGTAGAGGCCCCAGTAGCACTGCCTTTCAGCGGACGCCCTCCAGTCGCCAAGCATTTGCTTTGCTGGCAAGCTCGCCCTGACAGTCAAACCGTACGACAAGCAGCGGCTGCTTGAAGCCAGCCTGTTCCTTCTCACGCCAGCTGCCGTCCCTCCCTCTGACGAACCCCTCACGCGCAAACTTCCTCCCAGTCCGGTCTTTGCTGGCAAGCTCGCTCTGACAGTCAACCCGTTGAGGCGCGGCGGCTGCTTAAACCCAGCCTGTGCCTTCGCACGCCAGCTGTCGTCCCTCTGAAGACCCCCTCAGCCGCAATTTCTTCTCCCAGTCAGTGCTTCCGCTTCCGTTGCTTTGAAGCGCTGCTTTTAAAAAAGGTGACTTTTGAGTCGACTTAAAAGCTGCCCTGAAGCGCTGCCTCTAACAAGTCCTGCAAGGCAAATCACGTCACATCCCTCCCTCACGCGTGGCTCGCCTCTCCGTGTGGCTCACCTACCCTCCCCGGTGTGTCTCATCTTCCCGCCCCTCAGCGTGCCTCACCTTCCCGCCCTTGTGCTGCTTGTCGATCTTCTGTTAAATACCACCCAGTGTGTCTCACCTACCCTCCCCGGTGTGTCTCATCTTCCCGCCCCTCAGCGTGCCTCACCTTCCCGCCCTTGTGCTGCTTGTCGATCTTCTGCTGACCGCCACCCAGACGGGCGCGCCTTTCACGCTCCTCGAGGGCCAGCACCGCGGGCTGGAGGGAGGCGGGGTCGGGGAGAGGAAGGGGGAGATCGGAAAGAGTGGGGGGTCCAAACACGGAGTATGATGCGGCGAGCGCGCCTTTCACGCTCCTCGAGGGCCAGCACCGCGGGCTGGATGGAGGCGAGGCCCGGGTGGGGCCCGGGTGGGGAAGAAAGGATGGGCGGATGGGGGACGGGGGGGGCGGGGGGGGGGGGGAAGGGGAGGGGAGAATGAGGAAAACGGGGAGATTGAGGAGACTGAGGAGATTGTGGTGGACGAGTGACGGGAGGAGAGGGGTAAGAGTGAGGGATTTAAATCGCGACTGGGAAGCAAGCGGCGAGCGAATCAGACGCGTTCTGATCGAGTCAAGAAGAGCAGGGGCGAGAGCGCGCTCCTCTGGCTCCTCTCGCGCTACTACTGGGCCAGCACGGCGGGCGGGAGGGCGGCGGGGTCTGGGGAGAAGAGGGAGGGAGGACGGTGGTGAGGATGTGAGCCGGAGTGGGGAGACGTGGTGGGGAACTACCGCGGATGCCCGGCGGAAGAGATCAGATGTAAACGCGTTCTGACTCGGGTCACGAAATGAAGAAAGCGCTTCTCCAGGGACCAGCCTGGAGGGGTGCTGCAGCATACACGCGAGACGCTGCAAGATGAAGTTCTGACAACGATGGCACAAGAGAAGGAGGGCCAGAGGCGAGCCTGGAGGGGTGCTGGAGAATGCGCGTGAGACGCTACAAGATGGAGATCCGGCATCGATGGGTCACAAGAGAAGGAGGGCCAGACGCTAGCCTGGAGGGGTGCTAGAGCATACGCGCGAGACGCTGCAATATAAGGTCTAACAACGATGGGTCACACGAGAAGGAGGGCCAGAAGCTAGACCGGAGGGGTGCTGGAGAATGTGCGTGAGACGCTGGAAGATGGAGATTTGACATCGATGGATCACAGGAGAAGGAGGGCGTGCGTGTCTAACAAGGCCACGATGCACGTGCGTGCGAAAGGAGTAACCAGGCTTCACGAGCACTCGCGAGTAACGCACCAGCTTCCCAGGAAAGATCCAGTCCATGCATGAGCCCTTGATGCTGCAACTGTGACTTACGATGGTGAAAGAAAGCTGTTCGCACTATTGGCATAGCCCAGCCCAATGGATCACTATTGGCATAGCCCAGCCCAATGGATCACCATTGGCATAGCCCAGCCCACGATGTTGCGGAAATTTGGATCTCCGCCGGTTGCCTTTCGCAGTGTCCAGAGAGGAAAAGAAGGTCGCCCGCTCCCCCTCTCGAAGCCTGCGGAAGGGGTCCAGACGCTCACCCTCTTGAAGTTTGTGACGCCAGAGGGAGCCGGAGCAGCTGGTGTGACCTCACTCGCAGACCCTCGCGAATGTGCCTGCGAAACAGGAGAGCGCTCGTTTAGTCTACTTTGTAACACACACTCTAGGTAAAGGCTATCGGAATGCGGAAGTACGGGATTCGAAGATAGACCACCCGAGGTACAGTTTTTTGAAACGTCCGAAAGTATATGGATTGCACGTGTTGCAGTAGATCAGTAGCGGAACGAAACACGCTACCCGCTGTCCATGACGGATGAACACGAGTTAAAAACACCTCCTAACGCTGTCAACTCTCACAGCTCACACCTAACGCTTCTCCGCTTACAGGCACATTGCCGTCTAGCCAAGCAGGAGTGAAGCCGGTGGCCGGCCTGGCGGCAGCATTGCCGGTCGCGACGGCGACGGCCGACTGACACGCTTCCAGCAGGCGAGATCGCGAACGCGAGATCGCGCGGGACAACATCTCGAATCGTGATGCACTTGTCTTTGCGTAAAAACTCTTCAAGCAATCTTGAAGCAAGATCTACGCGTTCTGGCTAAGTTCCTTGGCGTTCTTGGCTTGGAACGCGCAAGGTGAGTTAGGACAGCTCCACTGAACCGTGGACCTGACGCGGAACGAGCAGAAACCAAAACCAGGAGATCTCGTCCTGCTAGCTAAAAATGCAAACTCTCCTTTGCATAGTCTGCGGCAGGATGGTTGGCACAGTATGTTCCCCTGGGTTTGGTTCGGGATGGTTGAGGTGAGACAGGAGGAGAGACAACTTCAAAGTTTAGCTTGGTCGGTGCAGCTGGCTAGCTCGTGGTGCTGTACGGTGGAAGTGAAACTGCCTTCTGGCACCGAGAATATCCCAACAAGCAGGGCAAGCAGCAGCCAAGTCTGGTTTGGCGAAGCATCTGGGATTTTCGTTACAGCTCTGTTACGGTGCGAAGACGAAAAAGCCCAGCAACAGGACGAATCTCCACCACATCATATGGCACGTCACACACAGCCAATCGCAGGGCCACGAGTTTCAGAAGCAGGGGAGATTTGAGGACAATATCCCAGAATCTCGGACACGGTCACCAGGGCATGCTGGCGCTGCTCGTTGACGTGGCTGGACAAGTTTGAAGCCAACGGCCTCAAGAAAGTCTCTGCAAGCATGACCCCAGCAGCCAGTCACCATGGCGTAACACCCGTTAAAAACAAAAACTCAAGGCATAGTAATTCTAGTGAATGTGTGGGTAGTTTCGGCCGTATGGATAGCTTGTCGCCATGGATGTTGACGCTGCACCTGATGACTCCAATGTCGTGCTTTAAGACACCTGATCAGCCTCTAGATAATAGCAATGGATTCCTTTCATCAAGCTCTATACAGCTAACCACAAATTGTGTTCAAACGATCAACATTGGAAAGTTGTTATTGAGTTATAGGAACTCCAAGGTCGGAGGACACTATCAAGGCATGGATATCAACAAGGGCTTACATCAGCAAGCAACATCAGTGCAGCCAATCGCGACGGCAAATCAAACTCATTCTGGATTCAGCAAAGCTGCCTTATGAGAGCAGCATATATTATGGCAATGGCAAAAGAAGAGATTGGAGTTAGACAGAGAAAGTTATCTGCCATTCATTGACAGTCTTTCTCCACTCATCATTGCACGATGCCTCTCAAAGCCAAAGCTAAGGGTGCCACCAAGCGGGCCTCCGCGGCTGATTACGATGATGAGGCTCTGGCTGTGGATCCTGCTGTGGGACAAGGGAGCGGAAGATTGAAGTTCCGTTCAACACGCTGGAGTCGTCGGGACCGTTTCCAGAAGATTGCAATGCTTCGATGGCATCGACCTCCGCGAGTCAGACGCTGGAGTAGGAATTCGTGGAGGCGGAAGTGGATCTGGTTGGTTCGGACAGGTTGAAGGAATACAAGGATTCGGATGATGAAGATGAAGATGAAGATGATGGTTATGTCACGGATTATTCCGAGGAGGGATTGGATCCAGAGCAGAAGGGAGAGGTTGCTTCGCTTGTCAATTTCTCGCTGACTCTCCTCATTCCTTACAGCTTGGTCAAGGAGTTGCCGCTGATTCAGTCGTCGGTCAGTGATATTTTGGAGTACAAGAAGAACTTCGCTCCTGGAGTTTTGGACTCGACCAAGTATCAGCAGCTCCCGCCGATGTACTTCTCCAAAGTGCGCTATGGCAGGCTCCATGTCTCTTTCTTGAACGTGAAGGACGCTAATAGGATATGGAGGGAGAAGATCGAGTATACATGCTTGGATGGGAAGCGCGTGATTCTCGGCTGGCAGCACCCGGAGAACCCTGCTTACCTGCGTGCGAGGCTGGCGGACACGACGACGATTGAAGTACTGCTAAAAGGGATTCCGGCTGCGATTCCTCCTGAGATGCTGAGGAAGCTGATAGTGGATACGAAGCTGGTGAAGCGTGGTCGGTCTGCGTAACTGAAGGGGAGCTGTTTTCACAGGGTGGTGGACCCGCTTATCGGCATGGACACTGACAAGGTTAAGGGTTTGGTCAGGTCGCATACGGACGATAAGTACCGACTGAGGAATGTGATTGATGATCTGCTGCACCCTGGAAAGTCTTTCTTGATTCATTTCATGAAGCTAACATGTGGTGTGTGCAAGGGGTTTCACCTTGAGAAGGCGCATGATGATTATGTCCAAGACCGGCAGTTTAACATCAGCAAATGGAGTCTGAATGTGGGGAGGGTGCACATGATCAATGGTAATGGCTGTCGAGTTTCTTTGTTTTTCTGCAGCTGCTACCATTGTTTACTTACTGGTTCACTTACGAGTGGTACCTGGCTTCTGGGATCAGCGATCTTGCTAAAGTCAGCAGGATTGGTAAAGAAGATTCTCAAGGATCCATCGCTGGTCCTCATTCCAACCGAGAGCGACCGTGAAGCCTGGATCTGTCGTCAGTAATGGTGTGGGAAGGCGCATGGAACTTCTTTCAAGGAAGCAGCAGATCATATCAAGGAACGATGTCATGGGTCCCAGATCAGCAAGCAGGGTGTGTCGTCACGCTCCAACAAAGAGAAGATGAGCCTGGCTATGCTGAAGAAGGAGTACAAGATAGAAGGGTAGTGTGCTGCTGTGCTGGGGAACAGAAGAGAAGACGTGTGCTCCTGAGGATAGCGATAGCTGTAGTGGAGATGCGAGTCCTCACCTGATGGATGTACTGCTGTCTTGCTACTGGAGTGTGTCGCAACCGCCGTTGAGTCAATGGTCGTGCTCTGTCTGGCCTGTGGATGCTTGGGGGTCAAGGAAGTAGTGATTTAATGGATAGAACCACCAACCACTCCGTCTGCGAATGCAACGTTAACGGGGTAGGAAGCCGAGGGAAGCAGAACAAAGTTAGATATTGGGTCAGCAAGGCAGCGCATATAGTTGTGCTAGTGGACACTAGGATAAAGGAGGACCACAATTGTTGGTCCGAGTTAAAGCCGAAGGGATTTGTCACGGTATCACCGGAGCAGAAAGCTGGTGGTGTGGCGATTCTCAGTTTCAAGGAAGGTCTCGTGTTCTCTGACGTTGAGAAGCATATGTCGGGAAAGCTGCTGAGTGTGAAACTCTGGTGGAACGAGCAGGGCATGGTGCTGATCGCAGTGTATTTATCTGCGCAAGCACACAAGAGGGGTGTCTTCCAGACAAGGGTGTTGGGGCCGTTTGTAGCAGCCTTACCAAAAGCGGATCATCAGCTGCTTCTCGGGGATCTGAATATGTTGGAGAACCCTGACATTGACAAGTCTTATGGATTGGGGTCGGCAGGGGGAAATATAAGGTTGATGTAGTCCCTAACGCGCTACGACATGTGCGATGCTTTCAGGATGCTCAATCCAAGGAAAAATGAGTTCACATTTTTCTCTAAGTCAGCGAGGGTGAGCTCGAGGATTGACAGGGGGTTGGTCTCGCACTCACTTCTTCACTTGTTGGCGGCTGTGAGGCACATATTGATCCCGAAAGGGGTCTCTGACTATTGGTTTGGGGTGAAGTTATTCCTCAGATCCAGGTCGCAAGGAGGATGCGGTCCTGGTCTTTGGTGGTTACATGCATCCCAAGCGGATCGACAAGGGTCCGGTCGATTACGGAAGCAGTTGTGGAGAGTCATGATACAGATGGGTCGCGGGACTTCGACCGACGGACATGCAGGCTTAGTGCAGGAATTAGAACATACACCAGAGAGGAGGGGAAGAGGATCAAGGTGACGATACGGCACGTGGAGCAGAAAGTGGCAAGGTTGCGTCAGGCGGTGATTTGAATCCGGACTGCCTCGCCTCGCAAGGTCTCCTGACGCAACAGGAGGCGTTGCTGCTGGCGTACTAGGATAGCGGCAGGGATCGGCTGCAGTTGATGGCAGGGGTAAAGGAGGAGCTTGATAGGGAGGTACCGTCAGGTTACCTGTCGGCAAAGATTAAGCTTAGGTAGACATGAGCAATGAGGCAAGGATTTCCTCGCCTCGGAAATCCTCGCCTCGAAATTTCGGGGGTCGAGGCAGGTTTTATGGGAAAAATCCTCATGAGGATTCCTCGCCCCGCCTCGGCGAGGATTCGAGGCCTCGATTTTTCCTCGAGGCAAATGGGCGAGGATTTTGTATCCTCGCGAGGAAAAAATCCTTGTGAGGAATAAAAATTCATTGCGAGGATTTTTTCCTCGCGTCATTTTGGTGACAGCGCGCCTGGAGGCGCTGGTACAAACACAAATTTTGGGACTAAGGTGATTCATTATTTTTGGATCAGCCAAGTTCTGTAATTTTGTATTGGGCTTACCAATAGCCTTGCTGGTCCCATTTCGCCCAATGCCACCGTTCTAAACAGCTTAAACAAATACCAACGGGTGGGGTAAAAGAACCCCCGTTGTAGGAGGGGGGAGAGAAAAACGCATTGTAGATTGCACGGAGTTTTTAGGCAGCGGGGGGGCTGTCATTAGGGATAGAGGGCCTAACTAAGAATAGTAGCGGTTCTTACTAAGTGTGCCGAGCCCGCTGATAGCATGGGCGGCCGTGCTCCATGTGGCGGAGGTGGTGGGAGAAGGGGGCGCGGTAATGGTGCCCGTGGTGCCCAAGGGAGAGGCGGCAGGGGAAGGGGGCAAGAGGGCGAGGAGGAAACTCGCGCAATGACGGCGACCGAGGCGAGGCACTTTAAAGCCATCGCAGCCGCGGCCGAGGCGAAGAAGGTGGGTGAGGCCGCGCGCGAGAACGCTGGGGGGAAGGGCAACGATGCAGGGCGCGGTGATGGCGCCATCCGCGGAGTCTCTAAGGGGAGGGCAAGGGGGGGAGGCGGCCAGCATGCGGGCGAGGGAGAGGAAGAGGAGGAGAAGGGGGAGGAGGAGGTTGAAGAGGTGGAGGAGGAGGGCAAAGAGGAAGAGGAGGAGAAGGAGCTCGAGTGTGTGGAGGGTATGGGGAGGTGGAGGGCCAAGGGCTTGCGCGAGGAAGGAGTGGGGGAGGAGGAGGAGGAGGAGGAGGAGGAGGAGGAGGAGGAGGAGGAGGAGGAGGAGGAGGAGGAGGAGGAGGAGGAGGAGGAGGAGGAGGAGGAGGAGGAGGAGGGGGAGGGGGAGGGGGAGGAGGAGGACGACGACGACGACGAGTGGGGGGAGGAGAAGGGGGAGGAGGAGCAGGAGGAGAGGTCTGGCGACAACACCGAAGAAGACATGTACGATGCGGGGGAGGGGGAACCCGCCAAGCATGACGACAACATGGCGGAACTTGTGGAGGAGGGTGAGGACTCGGTGCTTGGTGCCCTTGGGGGGGGGGCACTCCCTTCAGCAAGGCAATGCTGAAGACCATTAAAAAGGAAAAGGGTGAGGGCAGCGGTAGGGGAAAGAAGGTACAAGGCTCAGCCGGGCAAGGCAGGGAAGTACAGACCCCGAGGGGGGCGGGAGGGGGGAGGACTGGCGGAGGAAGGGGGAACACAGGCGGGGGAGGAGGGGGAGGGGGTCGGACTGGAGGAGGAGGAGGAGGGCGGACTGGCATGGGAGGGGGACGGGCTGGCGGGGGAAGGGGGAGGGCTGGCAGCGTTGGAGGCGGGGGACTGGCAGCGGTGGGGCAGTGGAGGAGGGGGGAGAGGGGAGAACTGGGAACAAGAAGCCAGGGAAGCCTGTGAAGGGAGACGGCATGGCGGCAAGATGCTTTGAGCATCAGTCTGGGCTTGGGAACAAACGGCGCTGCAGAAAGTGTAGTATGGCCATCTGTTGGGCCCACAGCTCCACCACCTCAGGAAGGGATCACATGAAGAACAAACATCGCGCCCATTGGGATATTTGGTCGCGCAAATGGGATGCCCGAGAGATAGGCGGGGACGAGGTGTTCCCCGAGGGTGGATTTGGGGAGGAGGGGGGAGTGCCGGATGGGAAAAACGTGTGGCGTGACGCGGCTTGGTGGCCGGGGGACCCCCCACAGGAGGGGGGTGGACAAGGAGGGCAGCAGAGTATTAAGAGGTTCCTGTCTCATCGATTGGACGAGGAGTACCTACGCCAGACGATAGTAGAGTACATCGTCGACTCTGATTCTGCCTTCAGCACCACTGATCGCCCAACTCTAAGACCCTTGCCTCTTCCCGTTGCGGTTTTTTTGACAAATTTTCAGCCACATGCCGCCCATGTCGTTTCTGTGTTGCACGGTCGGTCATGTCATGCTGTAAAATCCAATGCCTACCAACACCAATGCCATGATGTGCCACTCCCTCCATCACCCCGCCGGACAGTTTCGCCGCATGATGGCAGCGGCTAACCCACAGTGTGCCACCCCTGGTGTCATTCCTGGGCGGCACACTGTGGGCCGTGATTGCATCCGTCTAGGGGATCTGGCGCGCGCAGTTCTCAAGGACGGGCTCTCAATGTCCAGGGGCGTGGGCAAGGTCAGCTTGACCACAGACATCTGGACGGGTGAGAACAACCGTGGTTACATGGCGGTTACAGCCCGCTGGATGACGGCAGAGTTCGAGCTCCGCCAGGGACTGCTGGAGTTCATAGCACTACCGCCGAGCCATACAGCGCCTGTAGTGGCTCAGGTGCTAGAGGCAGTGGTGCGGGATTGGGGGTTGACCGGGCGATGCATGGCTGTGACTACCGATAACGCCGCCACCAACACCGCGGCCATGAGGTGGCTGTCCCGCAGCGAGAGCGGCGACAGGGTCCCGCCGCTCTTCCAGACTGGGCTCCACATCCGGTGAGTGTATACTGTTTTTGTCGCTGGAGGCCCAGCCTTGCTCAGAAGCAACCGAGTGCACAGAGCTTGCATGTGCAAGCTATGCCATGCAATGCCACAAGCCACCTACCATACCATGCCGTGCCATGCCACATGCCATATGCCACATGCCGCATGCCATGCCATGCTGCCATGCCGCCGCGTGCCATTCCATGCCACATGCCATCCCATGCCACATGCCATGCCGTGCCATATGCCACTGCTAACCCGAGCATGCCTTCCACACATCCCCCCTGTCCCTCCTCCAGTTGCCTCGCCCACATCTGCAACATTGCTGTACAGCAAGCGTTGAAGAAGGTGGAGGCTCTGAAGCTGCCGCTGGGGCTGCTGCGTGAGAACGCCAGCTTCATCGGCTATTCCACCAAGCAGACCCCGCTATTCGAGGACGAACAGCGGCGCCTTTTCCCTGACAGGCCGGTCGTGAAATTGAAGCAGGATATGGAGGTGCGCTGGGGATCGACCTACCAGATGGTCGTGCGTGGGATCCGACTGCGCGATGCTCTTGAATCCTTTGCGCGTCGCTTCCCGGTGAGTCCTTTGGTCACACGCGTGCTAATTGAATGCCAGGTGGGTGTGACAGTGTTATTGCCCTCGTCCCCACCCCACTTGACACGTCCCGCCCCTCAGCATTGTACATGCCCCAAGCGTCCCAACACCAACTTCAGCCACCCACCCATCCACGCTCTCATGTGTCTAACCCTATAAATAACCTCCTATTCCCAACTCCAACATCAGGAGGCTCGCCAGGCCCAGCTTCGCATCTCGCCCGAGCAGTGGGCTGTGCTTGAGGAAGTTGCAGTTTTCATCAAGCCTTTCAACTTGGTGACGCTGGCGGCGGAGGGGGGGCACTATCCCATTGTTAGCCGGGTTGTGCCGCAGTACAACGAGCTGATGGACAAGCTCGAGCGTGTGCTACACAGTCTGGATCCCCCCCCCTCTGCGTTCATCCGCGCGTGCTGCGAGGTGGCACTCCCCAAGCTGGAGGAGTACTACTCCTCCAGCAGCGATGAGCTATGCGTCGCCACTTTCCTCGACCCGACAGTGAAGCTCGGGTACTTCGCCAAACCACGCGGCAAGATGTCGATGAGGGTGGTAGAGCAGGTCGCCCTCGAGGCAGTCATCACTCTCGTGCGCAAGAAGTGGCAGCCGTACATGGACAAGGTGCGCGCGGCAGAGGCGGCGGCGGTGGAGCTTGGGGTAGAGGATGGGGATGACGGCGGTGGGGGAGGGGGCGAGGGGGATGCTGCCATGGGGGCTACCTTTGGGGGGGATGACGACGAGGGTAGCCTGGTGAGGCACCTGGCTGCCTACCGCAGCAAGCATTCCCAGGAGCAGAAGGATGAGATTCAGGTGTACCTCGATGAGCCGATCCTCCCCATGCGTGCTTCGCCGCTTGCGTACTGGCAACGCAGGGTCGATCTGCCAGCCTTGCAGGGTATGGCCATGGACTACCTGGCCATCCCCGCCACCTCTGCGGCTAGCGAGCGGATGTTCTCGCATGGTCGCAACCTCATCACATGGCAGCAGCATCGCCTTGGCACAGAGCGGGTGCGCGCATGCATGACCCTCAAGTCATGGATTGTGATGCACCCGGGGGAAAGGCTTGGAGGGGTGGCAGCGCAAGAGCTGGCGGAGTTGGGGTTGGAGCTCGAGGAGGGAATGTGAACGGGGACAGCTTGTGCTCTGACAGCTACTACCCGTGTGACTTGATCTATTTATTTGCATGCTTATGGTGTTAGGAGGTGATGGGCCTAGCAAAAAGTTGTGTGGCCATCGCCAGTCATGATGGCACGGCACGGTGAGGCAAGGGTAGGCAGCTGTGGTTGGTTGTGGTTTTGTCACGGGCAGGGCAGGGCGGCAATGAACTTGGCAGTGGCATGAGATGTGCGGGGCGTGTCACCATGTTTAGACAAGTTGGCTGCTTTGGGTGTGTGCGGGTGGACAAAGAAAAAAACTTATAGGCTATTGGCAATGTACTCATAATAGAGGGAGGGTTGCAATTTCGTTCCATCTAGGTGAACTACGTGTCAACGGTAGTGGTGGTATGCATTGAGTGTAATCAGTTACACTCAGCATGTGGGAAACTAAAGAGCCAGCCATGACCCATAGCATGGAAGGGAAATGGCATAGGACAAGGCTGATTTTTCCCTGCACATATTCCCATTACCCCCCCCCCCCCCTAACCCCCCAGCCGCCCAGGTCAAGGAATCCTCGCCCCGAGTCAAGGAATTAATCCTCGAGGCGAGGATTTCAATCCTCGACCCCAAAAACCCGGGGGTCGAGGGGGGATTTTCATGAAAAATCCTCGGCGAGGATTCCTCGACCCGCCCCGGCTAGGGCGCGAGGATGAGATCCTCGAGTTAAGGAATCCTCGCCTCGCCCTGTGCTCATGTCTAAGCTTGGGAAGAGCAAGACGGTTATTAGGGAGATTCAGAGGGGAGGGAACTTCTATAGGGACTCCAGGGGGATCCTTGCCGCAGTGTCAGACCACTTCCATGAAGCATTCGGAGTGGTGGCAGAAGCAGTGGTTCTGGAGACCTGGGTGAAAGACAGAGGCAAGAAACTCAGTCGGTTGGAGGCTGAGAAGCTGGACAGGGGCTGGACGGAATAGGAGGTGCAGCAAGCATTGCGGCAAATGTCCAATGGCAAGTCGCCAGTGTGTGATGGGCTCCCAAAGGAGTACGTGGAGAAACAGTGGGGCACGCTTAGAGGCAATTTCATGGAGATGGTACGGAAGTTTGAAGAAGAGCTGCCCAGCCAGGTGGGAGAGGCAGCTACCATTTTGCTACACAAGAAAGGTGCAGAGGATGAGGTGGGGAATTATAGACCCATTACGTTGCTCAACAACTACTACAAAGTGTTAGCGAAGGTAGTGGCAAATATGATGAAAGAGTTTATGCACAAGGTGGTCTCCAAGGAGCAGTTCGGGTTCCTACCGTAAGAAGGTTTTCGGAAGCGGTGACGATTGTAGCGGACATCATTGAAGCAGCAAAAAATGGGGACTGGGACTGGTACTTGCTGTTGGTCGACTTCGAGAAGGCATATGATTCCGTCAAGAGGAGGTACCTGTTCGAGGTAATGGGGGGCATGGGCTTTCCAAAGAAATTCATGAGCTGGGTAGAGGGTCTACACCGAGGCTCCAGCACAAGGCTGGTAGTCAATGGTTGGACGGGGGAGAAGGTAATGGTGCGGAAAGGGGTGAGGAAAGGCTGTCCGCTTGCGCCTTATCTCTTCCTTTGTGCGGCGAAGCCACTTTGCAGGGAAGCGGAAAGACGGAAGCTGGGAGTGAGTAAGAAAGGCGGACACAGGCTATTGCATCTTGGGTACGTGGTCGATACATCATTGGTGATTAATGGAGAGCGGCAGTTGGGGAGGGCGGAACTCCTACTGTAGGAGTTCGGGCAGGTGTTGGGGCTCAAGACGAATCCGTCAAAGTCCTTGTTTCTGCCGCTTGGGAAGAACAGCAGAGCGGTGATGCCACCCGGTCTGGATTACAAGTGGGTTGCCAAAGAGGAGGTGGTGAGGCTGCTGGGGATCTGTGAAAGGATGAAGCTTGCTGAATTCTTGATCACAACCATTTGTCATTTGCTATTTATTGTGTGTTATTTTGTGTATTTTTCATTTATGGAAATCCCTACACATTGATATATTTCATTTATATCATATGTGTTACGGAGTGTTACGAATTTTCCTTGCGTGACACGTTTTCTATTGCGTGGAGTGTTCCGTCACCGTCATCGTATCTTTAGAATCCCTACCGTGGTTCTAGGTGGTGTTTCTACGGACGGTTCCACTCATCTCTAGAGCTCTCTTAGAAGGTCATAGTTACCCTTTCCTAGAGTTCTCGTAGGTATAAATAGCGTTGCCTCTTTGCTTGTATTGAGACATTCAATTCTGGATTCAATTCTTGATTAGTATCATTCAAGCTTCCGCTAAATCCTGGACCTGTGACAGGATCCATCTGTCGCCGAATGGACGTGCAGATCTGACGTGGGAGAGGGCTTTCAAAAGAGTGAAAGAGAAGCTGAAATTGTGGCAGTCGGAATATCTCACGACGATGGTGAGGGTTACTGTCTTCAACAACTACGTGATGTCGATACTGCTTTTTTCAGACTCTTGTATACTCGCCGACGGAGGATGTCTGTAGGAAGGTGGAGAAGGTGAGACAAAATTTCGTGTCTGGGAATAAGGCGGATGACGGGAAGCATTTCGCACTTTGGAGCTGTGTACTCCAAGGAAGCTGGGAGGTCTTGGAGTAGTGGACCCCAAAGACCGAGTAGACAGCATGGCGCGAAGGTGCGTTGGTGCAGCGCTGCTGGAGAAATGCCCAATTCGGAGGGAGCTGACAGAGATGGCAGCGCTGCTTTCGCTGGGCTGGGCGTCCCTATATGCTCACCCGTGATTGCTTAAAAGGTGGGGGAAGGGAAGTGAAAGATGGAGACAGATAAGCAGGTCGTGCATGGAAGGTAGAGTTATAGAGGTTGCAAGGGCAAGAACGAGGTGGGAAGTAGAGCAGGACCAGATAACGTTCAACAGAAGGATCTTGTTCAAAGGGGACTCCCCTTTCGGTGTGCAAAAAGGAACGGAGAAGCTGCGAGGGTTCAAAATGGGAGACCTCATAACGAGACATCCAGATGGGGCGAGGGAGATGAAAACCAGGGGCATGCTGGAAGCAGAACTAGGAGACTCAGTGGCCGCAGCACTAGCGGTGAAAGCTTTTGAGAAAGCTCCAGCAGATTGGAAAAATTGTATCCTGAGGAAGCTTGAGCCGGCGGAGCTGCTGAATGGAACCACGGTAGTGCAGACGAAAGGGTACCCAAAGGGTGAAGTATGGTGGTGGAAAATTCAAGGGGAGCGAAACGGGTGCCTCAAAGGCAGAAGAGTGGATGTCGACTCACGGGAACGGCTGGCGAAGGAGGTGAGGCCATGGGGCACGCAACTGCAGATTGCAGCAGTAACGCCTCAAAAGGTCTCAGAGCAGATAGTATTGGAGAGTTGGGATCACCGACGGAAAGGTTACTGCGCACGGTGCTTAGAGATGGCGATGAGGTGGCACCGGTAAAGATGCTGAGGAAAAAGGCTCTACAAGGGCCGAAGAAGACTAAGCAGCAGGTGGAATGGGAAAGGAGAAAGGGGGAGGAGATTGACTGCCGAAGATAATAGAGACGCGATACTCTCTGGTGGTTCCACTGCGACCAAGAGACCCACTGCTGAAGTTCTTGGGGGAGGTGGGAGTTTGTCCATACTGTGGGGAGAGCGAAACCCTCCCGCACTGCCTCCTGGAGTGCACCATCATTCAGCTGTTAGTGGGGGCGCTAAAGGATGCATTGGCAATGTTCAATCCAAGGAGACACGTGTCGACGATCGAGGACCTTCTTTTCTCAGGTAGTGCTACACGGTCAGGTTTCCCGGAGACATCCATTACAGCCTGTACACTTCACAGAATATGGTTGGACCGATGTGAGGCGTTTTCAGAGGGGAGAAACTACAGGTGACGAAGTTCCTGCGTCAGATCAGCGTGGCGTTTAACTGTCATGCGAGTGTTTACGTAAGCAGCAGAAGGAGGAAAAGCCTGTCAGAGGAGAAGGGGGGGCAGGTGAAGAAGGTACAGCAACATCCAGCAAAGGACAAGGTCCTTCTGCTCAGCCGCATACATGACATCTCGGCAAAAGGGATGAGATGGAACGAGGGTTTTCAATCCATCTGGACAAACCCCCGAACCTATCACATACCTCCTTACCTGACTCGGAGGAGGAAGGTGTATGCCTAGCCTCCCAGAAGCAGTTACCACTACGACTGTAGGATGTCCTTGTGCTGTACATGTGTATAGTGCATTGCATTGATATTCCAAAAAAAATCAAATCTAGTGAATGTTAAAATATCACGCCACTTCTCACTAGGAACTGCATTACGAAGGACGGACAATTTGGTGGCTCGACAATGTGATCACGTTTCACTTCTCGTGACGCATGCGTTGGTTCCATTTGTCAACTTATACATATTATCTATGTAGAAGTTATAGGCTAGACTGAGGTATGCTTCTAGTGAGTACAACCAACTAGTATTTGTTCTAGGTTTCCACTTCTAGTCATCATTCGTTCTCACTTTAACACCATTAGCCGCCTAGAACTTTCAAACTCCAAATCTCGAGCTCCGATCCCACCAAGATTTGATTTGACCCCTCAATGGGCTGATTTGATTGTGGGAAGGAGATGGAACTGAATGTCGACCGTTGAGGCTAGATGGCAGGCAGTGATGACGAAGGAACGAGTATGCAAAATTGGCTTTAAATGTCAGTCAATCCAGATGTCTGCTCGGAAATGCATAGCGCCTTCAGGAAAGAACACATCAGGAGCCGCAAGCACCTCATCCCAGGACTTCTTGAACAGATCTCGTGACCCCCACCCATGGTAGGGCTCCGAGAAAACACACCCACTGCGAGACTTCACCACACAATACCCCACTGAACCTCTGCCATAGCCATTTCCCACCCCTCCAATTGGTGCACCACAGCTGCTAATGGCACTGGCACCTGCAGTACCACACACATCCCCTCCTGTCGAAGCAGCAGCAGCAGCAGTGGTTGCAGCAGCGGCAGCCCCAAGAAAACTCACACCAAGCTCACTGCCTGAAGCACCACCTTCAACGGAGCCAGCAGCAGAAGCACTGGTACCACCAGCAATGCTGCCACCAGTACTGGCCCCAGCCATCCCACTGCTGGTGGCCCTATGAGCCCTGCAATTCACGCCGCTATCGGTACCTGAGCTGCTGCTGCTTTGCCCTTCACTGCCTCCCCCGAGATCCATTTTCACGCAGAACCGGTACTGGCAATTCACGCTCTCTGCTGCAACGCCCGGGAAAGTGGCATGCTTATCTAAGCGCAGGAACAGGCCGAAGCGCGGTCCCAGCTCTTTCTGACACTCCAACTTAGCATTAAGCGTGAACCACCGCCCGGCAATGCAGAACAGGCCGGAAGTTGCCTGGAAGGAGACGGAGGGCGTCCAGCCCTGGCACTGGCTGAGGGGAATTTCGAGGAAGAGGGACTTGCGGGGCGGGCGGTAGGAGGTGCGGGGGCGCGACCAAGAAGGGGGGGAGGCAGGGGATGATAGCATGTGAAGGGACTGTGAGAGTTGGTGGGAAGGGGACGCAGAGAGAGATGTGCAAGGGACGGAGAGTGTGTGAGTGGGAGGAGAAGAGAGAGTGGGGAAGGGCAGGGAGGAGTATGGGGCTGAGTTTGTTGGCCTGGTGAAAGCAGGAGGTGAAACGGACAAGGCTGCAGAGACTAACTCAAAAGGAATAGGAGGAGGAGGAAGAGGAGGAAGAAGAGGAGGAGAAGTAACAGGATTCACAGGCGGAAACTGCAATGACAAGGGTGAGATCGACGTGGTCTGCACACCAGAGATCTCCTCCCCCCTCTGAGCCGCAGCAAACAGCCCTTCCAGAACCACCCCTCTGGCTTCCTCACTCTGCATCTCCTCTAGGTCCAGCGCCACTGCCCGCACAAACCCTGCACCCACCCACGCCCACCGCACCTCCCTCACCAACCTCCCCACCACCGCCCTCCTCTCCTCCAAACCCGCCGCCCGGCTGCCGCCCAAACCAGCTCTGCCACCCAGAGCGACTTCGCCCCCAATACCCACGTTGCTGCCGGGGGTTGATTCGCTGTTCAGAGCCACTTTGCCGCCCGGGAATCTATGCCGGGCCCAGAGGATGAGCGCACAGAAGACAGACTCTTCGGAGTCAACAGGCAGGTCGTCTGACTCCAGGAGAGCGCGCATCCCCGCCTCGGGGATGGAGAGAAACTCGATTAAGGGTGCTGCAGGGTGGCTCAGGTGAGGGTTGGTCAGCTGAGGGGTGCTGAACTGAGTGGAGGTGAGGTGAGGGTGGTGGTGGAAGTGGTTGTGGTGAGGGTCGAGTAGCACAACAGCACTGCTGTGGAGCTGTGAAGCATAGTGGTGGAGGTTGTTGAGTTGGGGGCCATAGTGGTGCACGATGCAGGCCTGGGAGGCGCGGATGAGCTGAGCGAGAAGAGGGTTGAGGCGGAGGGATGGCGGGAGGGAGAGCACGAGGAGAGCCTGCTGGGTGGTGATAGAGGAAGGGACAGGAGAGGAGGTAGCGGTGCTGCTGGTGGTGGCGGTGGTGTTGCTGTTGCTGGTGGTGTTGGAGGCGGATGCTGGGAGTGGTGGGTTTGCAGAAACAGTGGCTCCAGGGGTGCTGCTGCTGGGAGGGAGAGATGGTGCTATGATGGAGGTAGAGGAGGGGGTCAGAAGGGACGAGGCAGTCGAGGAAGAGGAGGAGGAGGGGTGGGGGTGGAGGGGAGGGAGGGAGGTGAGGGATGTGAGGAGGGAGGAGCACGTGGAGATGCACTCGTCCACGCCAAACCGGTCGGCTAAGAGGAGGAGCTGCAGTGTGCGCTCAAAGGATGTGACTGTATCGGGGGGGAGTGTGCCCCGGTAGATGTACTGTAGCAGCTCCATCATTAGAGGCTCCTCTGGGGGAAAGTTGATGGCAGACAGAGACGAGGAAAAATGGGAAAGAGTTTGAATGTGAGAGCTTTTTTAGAACTCAGAAAATTTTGCCTCTGGTAATGTCCTGTAGCAGCTCCATCGTTAGAGGCTCCTCTGGGGAAAGTTGAAGGCAGACAGCGACGGCATAAAATAGGGGGCAACTCGTTCGAATGCAAGAAAAGAGAAAAAGGAATGACGACGAGTGGAAAAGAAAAAAGGTACGTGATACATCACTCACACCGTCGCAGCCTACCTTGAGCAGGCAGGTGGATGCGCGCAAATCGAGAGCAGGGAGATCAGCAGCAGCACCTCTCGCAAATCGCTTACCTTGACCTCAAATTAACTGTCCGCTGACTTGCTGAACCAGTTTTCGAAAGCGCAGATATGTGTAAGTGGTACATGTATATATATGCGCATACAGTAAATTGTACCATCCAACCCTACCTTGAGCAGACAGATGGATGTGCACCACCCTTCTGTCCACTGTCTCGCTGAACCCGCTCGTGAAAAGGGCCCGGAAGAAGGACGACTTGGATGCCAGAACCACTGACGCTGCTGGCACGTCTCGCGATGACTTGGTATGTACCACACCACACCACACCACACCACACCATCCATCCGTACCTTCACGAGAAAGATGTATGTGCACCATCCTTCTGTCCACTGTCTCGCTGAACCCGCTCGTGAACAGAGCCCGGAAGAAGGACGACTTGGATGCCAGAACCACCGATGCTGCTGGCACGTCTCTAGTTGAAGGGTCAGACGGAGAAACCGCCGCTTCTGCTGCTGCTGCTGCTGCTGCAGCTTCTGCTGCTGGTGCTGCTGAGCTAGATATCCCTGCAGTGTCCACGTGTAGGGATTCTATGTTGCTGGTTTCAGCAGTATCTTCGGCAGCGTTTATTTCGTCCGCTGCAGCTGAAGGAGCATGGGTCGGTACAGTAAATTATAAAAATAGATATGAATTAACAAAATCATTTCCGTGGCTACTACGTTACGAAAGAAACGGGAAAAAGAGGCCCGAGTTGCCCGTGATGCGACAAATAACAGTCAGTCAACGGATGGAATCTGATGAGGAGATATATCGGAGGTCAGCAATTGTCTACTGCAGTTCTGATAGCTGCCAATTGACTCAAAACACACCATTATCCGCTGGCAGTGTTTTTGTCCTGGACTCGAAAACAAAACACCTGCTGGGTGGTGTAACGGAAACTAAATAAGCAACTATCTGCTGGATGTGTATTACGAATACAAAAAAAACATGACTCTACCTGTTAGGTGTGGCTCGATTACAAGTCGAAGCACGCAGTCAGAGAAGGCGGGCTCTCGGAAGGCGAAGCCGAAGTCGAACCGCGGTAAGGACGCCATTGCCACCAGTGGTGAAGCGCCCGAACCGACGACCCGCTTTGAGTATTGTTTGCCGAACCTAATACGCCAGCGTGCAGAGAGAGGGCACACCCGTGTTCGTTATCGATGCGGAAAACTAGGGTAGGGTAAAACCATGCCCTGGCGATTTCTAGTTCTCTGCCTGGTTCTGCACAAAAACCGCCTACAGAAATAGATCGATGGCTACTTCACGGTTCAGATGGTCTTCACGGTTCAGATGATCTTCACGGTTCAGATAATCTTCATGGCTGACTCGAGAATCTGTCTGGCCAGAGTGTTCTGCCCTTACGTGTCTGACGACATTTTCGGCAGTGAATAGCACATCTTCGTGCTCGCGCGCGGTTCTCCGGGGTGACTCGGGCGAGAAGATGCCAGTGTTGGCTGACGAAACGCCTCAATTCAGCACACCCAGGGGAGACAACATCGAGGCAGAAAATGGAGATTTCCCCTACAGTGTGCGACAGTGCAATCACAATGTGTACACTAGGTGACTAATGAAGGAGAAAACTATATTTCATATCCATGGCTCGCTCACAACCAACTGCGATCACCTCCATAATTTCACCTACAAAAAAACGTCTACATCCCCCGGTACTGGATCAAAGCATTCATTATCTATCTTATGGGGATGGGCAATCCAAACACATGATCATTGATCATGGACTTGCCTGCATAATTCACTCCTATGTCGAGAGATTCACTGGGGTCGCCCTAGAAGATCCTCAGAAGGGCCACAGGCTGCTATGCCTGGGGGGCTATGGGCTGTGCTTTCTGAAATCCTATGCGATCATCAGGTCAAGGCAATGATGGTTACGGTGACGATGGTAGTAACATTCATGTTGCTGATGTTGTTGTTGGTGCTACTGCCGCTGCTGATGTTGACGGTGCCGTAGCTGGTGCAACCGGGCTTCCAGTGGTGGGTGAAAGCACCCCAAAACCACTACCTTCACCCATCATAGCTCCCTGACCCAACGTTGATTCCCTTCTTCCACCATCCACAAATATACACACACTGTTGCCATACCGCCTCCCCCCCACTTCACCCCCACTTCCCTCCACTCCACTCTCCATTCCCCCCACCTCCACCTCTCCATCCCCTCCCTCTCCCCTCTCTCCATCCTCCTGGATCTTCTCCTTCCCTTTCTTCCCCTTCCTCCCCTTCTTCCCCTTACCCATATCCTCCCAACAGCCACCACCACCAGAAGCAGAAGCCCAAACCACCCCACTCCCTTGCCTTCCATCCCCATCTCTCCCCTCACCGGAAGCAGCAGAATGCGGGGGAGGAGAGGGGGGGGCGGTGGGGGGAGGGGGAAGGGATTTAACTGCGGAGTGCAGGAGAGTGAAGGGGAGGGCGAGGGCTGGGAGGAGCAGACCGGAGCGATGGAGGGAAGCCAAGGCGATGAGGGCTGGAGGAGGGGGGCAGATAGGGGATGGAGGGGGAGGGGAGTAAGAGCACATTGATGTGTCACAAGAGAAACCAGCTCAGGGGAAGGGATTTAACTGCGGAGTGCAGGAGAGAGAAGGGGAGGGCGAGGGCTGGGAGGAGCAGACCGGAGCGATGGAGGAAAGCCAAGGCGATGAGGGCTGGAGGAGGGGGGCAGATAAGGGGTGGAGGGGGAGGGGAGTAAGAGCACATTGATGTGTCACAAGAGAAACCAGCTCAGGAGAATGAACGGGAGGGAGAGAGCTGGGAGGAGGAGACCAGTACGTTGGAGGGAAGCCAAAGGGATGAGATCTATGGGGAGGAGGCGGATGGGGGGGGGGGAAGGGGGGGGTGGAGGGGGCCGTTTTAGGGGGGGCATAGGTAAAGGTGTGCTGCCACATGGGAGTTAGTGGAGGTGGGTTAGGGGATGCGGAGGAAGGGGAGCTGGAAAGAGGAGGTGGGGGAGGGAAGACGGGTGGAGGGAGAGCAGGTGGGGAAGGAGGGGGTAGGGGGAGATATGGGTGAGGGCACGTGGGTTCAGGAGGTGTGAGCGCTCCTGCCATCTGCTTGTTGGTAGCACACCGTCCATGGTGCAAATGTGATGCAAATGCAAAGAAGCCTACCTGCGAGGATGAGCAGCATTACAACGATGGCTCCAGCAAATCGCCCCCAGCAGGCGTGGGTCACAAAGCACGCCATGCCGAAGAATGACGGGCAGGCGAAACTGGCAGGGGTTTGGGAGGGTGAAGGGGAGGATGAAAAGGAAGCAAGGGGGAAGAGTGGGAAATGACCCCAGCAGCCGTGAGTCATAAAGCACGCCATGCCGAAGAATGAAGGGCAGGCAAAACTGACCGGAGGTCAATAAAAAGGGGAGGTATAATGGAAGAAAGGGGGGAAAGAAAAGTACACTCAGCAGCCATGAGGCATGAAGCACACCATACCGAAGAATGAAGGGCAGGCGGGATTGGTGTGGGGAAAAGGGGCAGCGGTGAGAAGAGGGGAGGGAAGGGTTAAGAAGGAGGGGAGAGAGGAGAGGGGGTGTGTGCGGGGAAGCACGATTCTGACAAGCCAGCACGAGCCTGATCGGCAAACACGGTCCTTGCTAACAAGGCAAGCATCTAACCCACCTGCAATCACTTGAGAGGGGGGATGAAGAAGAAGAAGGAGGAGGAGGAGGAGAGGGGGAGGGGGAGGGGGGGGAGGGGGAGGGGGGAGGGGGAGGGGGGGAGTGTGAAAAGAGTGTTCTGTTGAGCATGGGCTTGCTGTCCGTCTCTGTACCGATTGAATCTACCACCCAGCCACCTGCAATCACTTGAGCAGGAGGACGATGAAGAAGACCAAGAGGAGGAGGATAATGCGCATGGCGCGGGGAGGCGAGCGTGGTGTTGCGCATGGCCTTGCCATCCGCCTGGCCGTTTCCCATGTGCCCACAGAGTTGAACCAACCTGCAGGTGTTTCTTGAGTGATTTTTAGTCGACTCAAAAATCACCTGCAAGAAAACGACTCACCTAGAGGGTAGAGGGTACTTAGCTGCGCACCACGCACCTGCAGTCACTTGAGCGGGAGGAAGATGACGAGGAGGAGGAGGAGGAGCCGGGGCGCGGGGAGAAGAGCGTGGTGTTGCGCATGGCCTTGCCGTCCGCCTGTCCGCTCTGCGCCCCGCGGTTGTCCACCGTGGCATTCGTGGTGAAGGAGAGGGGTGCCACGTCAGCAACCGATGATATGGCGTCGTACAGGACCACTGGGGGAAAGAGTGGGGGGGGGGGAAGAGAGAAGGAAAGGTGACTCTTGAGCAGAGTCAAAAGGCGTTGGTGGGGAATGTGAGGGGTGCAACGTCAGCAACTCATGAGATGGCGAGCAACTCATGAGATGGCGTCAGCAACTCATGAGATGGCGTCAGCAACTCATGAGATGGCGCCAGCAACTCATGAGATGGCGTCAGCAACTCATGAGATGGCGTCAGCAACTCATGAGATGGCGAGCAACTCATGAGATGGCGTCAAACACGACCACTGGGGAAAAGGGGAGAGGGGAGCCCGGAGGAAGAAGGTGGTGGGGGGGAGGAGGAGTGGGGAGAGGGGGGTATATATGGTACGGTGCTGTGCAAGGCGGATGGTATGTGGTGTACGGCATTTGGTGTATAGCATGTGGTGTATGGCATGTGGTGCATGGCATGAGGTGTATGGCATGTGGTGCATGGCATGTGGTGTATGGCATGTGGTGTATGGCATGTGGTGTATGGCATGTGGTGCATGGCATGAGGTGTATGGCATGTGGTGCATGGCATGTGGTGTATGGCATGTGGTGTATGGCATGTGGTGTATGGCATGTGGTGCATGGCATGAGGTGTATGGCATGTAGTGCATGGCATGTGGTGTATGGCATGTGGTGCATGGCATGTGGTGTATGGCATGTGGTGTATGGCATGTGGTGCATGGCATCTGGTTTATGGCATGTGGTGCATGGCATGTGGTGTATGGCATCTGGTTTATGGCATGTGGTGCATGGCATGTGATTTATGGCATGTGCTGTATGGCATGTGGTGCATGGCATGTGGTGCATGGCATGTGGTGTATGGCATGTGGTGCATGGCATGTGCTGTATGGCATGTGCTGTATGGCATGTGGTTTATGGCATGTGCTGTATGGCATGTGGTGGAAGATGATGAAGGGAAGAGGAAGAAAGTCGATCAGCAGAGGGCAGAGGGCAGGCGGCCAAATGAGAGGAATGACAAGTGAGCCTTGAGATGCTTCTTTTCTTCCGACCCTAGCCAGAACCTGCCCTAGCTAGCACCTGCCATAGTACCTGCCCTAGCTAGCACCTGCCATAGTAAGTGCCTGCCCTAACTAGCACCTGCCATAGTAAGTACCTGCCCTAGCTAGCACCTGCCATAGTAAGTACCTGCCCTAGCTAGCACCTGCCATAGTAAGTACCTGCCCTAGCTAGCACCACCGAGGCTTACCAAGGCACGAGCGCTGGGAGGCAAGGGAATCCTGCAGTTGCAGCAGAAAGGTGAAGGCTGCCGTTGCCCCTGCTGCTATGCTGCGATCCTGAGCCTGGCGGGGGTGCGTTTTGGAGGACGAGGGAGGGGAAACGGGGTTGTCAATGGCGGGGGGAGAGGTCAGAGCAGAAAGGTGAACAGAATGGCTGCCGTTGGTCCTTGTGCTGCACACTGCGATCCTGAGAAGGGTGTAGCAGCAGAAGGCCGTTGGGGGGGAGGGAAGGGTGGGGGAAGAGAAATGAATGAAAGCATGGAGAATTCCATTTGAAGATGTAGAGGACGAGCAGGGAGAGGAAAAGGGAAGTGGGGTGAAGACAAGTAGAACATTTAGAGATAGAGGAGGCACTCACGGGTATTGGGAGAACTCCAGAGGAGCAATTTTGAATCTGCAGTAAAGGGAGGTATTAGGGGAGGGGCGAGGAGGCAGAGGAGGGGAGAAAATAAAGGCAAAAAGGTGAGGGGTGGCATATAGTTGCACAAATCTGTTTCGAGATGTCTCAAAACAGGGAGCGAACTATTGCTACAGGGAAGGTTTACGAAGCCTACACTGCCACCACAGCTCGTGAAGCCGGTACCTCTGCAGAATTGCCTCGCGGTGGCAGTGTAGTTTTTGTAAACCTCCCCTTTAGCAAGAATTTGCTTGACACCAAACAGAAACTCCTCAAGCTTCTCTATACAGTGTGGATACACTGGAAACATAAATTGTGAATGTACAGTGCAAGGGTGCATTGCATGTGAAAGGTGTGACTACTGAGAGGGTGAAGACAGCATTGCATTGAGAGTGCCATTATTGGCCACCCCAACTTCACGTCTCCACAGTGTGTGGGTGCCGACACTGACACTGGTGAGAATACACCCTGACTGTATGCATCGGCAACCAGCAACCGTACGTACCGTTAGGGTGCACTGCTCGTGGAAGGTGTGTGTGAATACCGTGAGGTTGAATAACTGTGTTGCCAATTATACCGTGAGAGTGAAGTCAGCATCGAGAGTGCCGTTATTGGCCACCTTAATGCCCACCCTCCCCTCACTCGACATGGCTTCAAACGATGGTGCCACCACCGACACTATGCGACCGGGGCTCCTGTGGTGGTGTGGAGGGAGGAAGAAGAGCAAGGCAGGTGGAACGAGTTGAGGGGGATGTGAGGTGGTAAGGTGGAGAGAGGGTGCCAGCCAACACCGACACTATGCGACCAGGACTCCTTTGGGGGGGGGGAGGAAGAAGAGCAAGGCATGTAGAATGAGCAGGAGGCGGTGGTAGGTAGGGTTACTCTTGAGCTCATTGAGTGGGCATGGCGGCCCCGACAGTACTTTTGAGTCGACTCAAAAGGTGGCGGTAAGGTTACTATTGAGTTTATTCAGTAGGCGTTCTGACCCCGGCACTATGTGGCCGGGGTTCCTGTGGAGCGAGTGGAGGAGAGATGAGGGAGAGGAGGCAGAGTGAGGCAAAAGAAATGAGTGGGGTGGGGGGATTTCATAACGGCAAGAAAGCAGCATGAAGGCTAGGCATGGACCTGAAAAAACAAGAGGACACATGACTCATAATGCAGGCAAGAACCATCAGCATGTGGGAATATTAGTATTATTTTTACTATTATTGATATTAGTACTATCAACATGATGATTACTATCATTATTTGAATTATCATTATTATTATTCTACAACTTCTGGTTGACGTTCTGATGCACCTGTTCTTGATGAACGTGACGTCATCAGCAGCCATCTCAAGGGTGATGAGGGAGTTGAGTCGCTGAGTCACTACCAGGGCAATGCTCAGAGAGCTGTTGGGCTGCAGGGGAGTGCGGTTCAGTGCGGTGAAAATGGTTTTGTATGGGGTGAAAGTGAGGGAAAGGATAGAGCAGAAAACATCTCAAGGGCGATGAGGGAGTTGAGTCGCTGAGTCACTACCAGGGCAATGCTCAGAGAGCTGTTGGGCTGCAGGGGAGTGCGGTTCAGTGCGGTGAAAATGGGTTGGTATGGGGTGAAAGTGAGGGAAGGGATAGAGCAGAAAACATCCTGAATCTGCTCAATGGGGTTGTGATGGGGTTGAGAGGTATAGTCGAAGAGGGTACAAGTGGGCTGAGAAGAAGAAAGAAAATAAAACGAGTCCCAACTCCCACGAGCGGCAGGAAACGAAGATAGGGGATGGGTGGGTGGGTGGGGGCTCATGATTGAGTATTTTTCAATCCGGATTCATCCCGATCCGAAGTCTAAATGCCTCAATTTTAGGAGAAATTTTCAGTAGTAATTTTTTTTTATCCCGTGTGCTAGCATTTAGCCTGGCGTTTCGGAAACGCCCAGGATCGGGCGAATATATGACCGTTTCCGATTTTTTTTATCCGGATTTGACAAAAAAACATCAGGAATTTGTGTGAAATTCCTGATGTTTACCCTTCAATCGTGAGGCCTGGTCAGGAAGGGTCGGAAGGGGTTAAGACCATCTTTCATCAGAACTCACATTCTCAAGGGTGTTGATCAATCCAAAAGACGACTAGGGGCTGCTCCTTAAATGCCTTTCTCCACAACCCACTAGAACAACACTCACACTTTCAAGGGTGGTGATCGGTCCAAGAGATGACAACGCGTGGATGGGCTGAAGGCCCTGGGACACGCGCTCTGCGTCCTCCTGCCATAGACACAAGGAGTGAGTGCGGGAAATACTTGAGTCCACTTGAGTCAACTTGAGTCAACTTCATAGGCGCATGGATGGGCTGAAAGGCCCTGGCAGCAGTCTCTTTCATAGCACCCAATGCCCCCATAGCATCCAAATAGCATCCAAAAACCGGCTAGCCGATTCCCCGAAATGCACCATGCGGACATACAGACCAGCCTGAGCTAAGTCCAGCAGCTGCTGGGAGAGGCAAGAGCCCTCAGATCAGAGCGCTGGCAGCAGTGCCGACCTTTCTGTGCTCACTGCCATGCCATGCACTGCCGGCACATACCCCATAGCACCAGCTAACCAGGGCGAAGTCTAGTAGCTCGTTGGAGAGGCAGGAGCCCACAAATCGCTGGCAGCGGCCGGGCTCAAAGTGGAGGGCGCTGAAGCTGGTGCCGACCTTATTGCACTCGCTGCACTGCACTGTTACCTTGTACCTTATAGAACCAACCAACCAACCTACCTGGGGGAAGTCCAGCAACTGGTTGGAGAGGCAGGAGCCCACGGATCGCTGGCAGTGGTTGGGTTCAAAGCACCCGCTGCTCTCCATAAACGGACTAGCCTTATCCTGTATACAAAACGTGCAGACAGACCAACTGACCTGAGCGAAGTCCAGCAGCTGGTTGGAGAGGCACGAGCCCACGGGGCGCTGGCAGCAGTCTCGATCAAAGCGGAAGGCGCTGAGGCAGGTGCCCACCTTGCTGCACTCACTGCTGTCCAGAGCCTTGAGGCACTCACCAGTGCTGCTGTGCCTTAATAGTGCCAACAGCTAACCTGGGCGAAGTCCAGTAGCTGGTTGGAGAGGCAGGAGCCCACAGAGCGCTGGCAGCGGTCGGGCTCGAAGCGGAAGGCGCTGAAGCTGGTGCCGACCCTGTTGCACTCACTCCCGTCCAGCGAGTACTGCTCCTTGTCCACTAACAGCCAGCCTGGAGGGGGGTTCGGGAATGAGGGTTTGGGGATTAGGGCTTGGGGATAAGGGTTTGGGGATTACAGGAAGCTGGTGAAGCTGGTGCCCACCTTGTTGCACTCACTGCCATCCAGCGAGTACTGTTCCTTGTCCACTAGCAGCCAACCTGGATGGGGGATTGGGGATAAGAGTTGGGGGTTCGGGTTTGGGGATTGGGGTTTGGGTATTAGGGTTTAAGGGGATCAGGGTTCGGGGATTCGGGTTTGGGGATTACAGGAAGCTGGTGAAGCTGGTGCCCACCTTGCTGCACTCACTGCCGTTCAGCGAGTACTGCTCCTTGTCCACTAGCAGCCAGCCTGGATGAAGGTGTGTGTGGGGTTTGGATATACGGAGGAGGGAGGGAGGGAGAATGGACTTGCCGCTCAGCGAGTACTGTTCCTTGTCCACTAGCAGCCAGCCCGGATGGGGGATTGGGGATTAGGCTTTGAGAATTAGGAGGAGGCAGTAGAACGCGGACCGGCCAAAGTCAAGGGAGCCTGGTTGCAAGGGCACAGATAGCAGGAGATCGCTCAGGTCACTGAGGTTGGGCAGCTGAGTGTAGGTGAGGATGTCGCACTGCCCACACTTATCCTTTTAAGTGCAACTGCGGCACTCCACTTCGACTCACCTGATGTGTGGGAGGTGAATCGGCCAAAGGTGGGGGAGCCAGGTTGCAAGGCCATGGACAGCAGGAGATCGCTCAGGTCACTGAGGTTGGGCAGCTGAGTGTAGGTGAAGAAGACCTCCTCTTCTCCCTCCCTTCTGTACTACATCCATTGACTCCATACCAGATGTGCCGGATGTAATTCTTTAGTCAACTCAAGCATCACCTTACCTGATGTATCGGAGGTGAATCGGCCAAAGGTGGGGGAGCCAGGTTGCAAGGCCACGGACAGCAGGCGGTCACTCAAGGTGGGCAGCTGAGTGTAGGTGACCCCTCTCTTGAATGATCCCCTCTCGCCCATCCAACCCTCTTCGTGTGTCACGGAGGTAGCCCCTCCAAACTCACCTGATGTATTGGAGGTGAATCGGCCAAAGGTGGGGGAGCCCAGTTGGAGAGGCACAGACAGCAGGCCATCGCTGAGGTTGGGCAGCTGAGTGCAGGTGAGGTCAGAGAGTTCATCTCTACTCGCACTCCCCCCCGCCCAAACCCTCCCGTCTTCCCCCCGCCAACCCCACCTCATTCTACCCCACCCCAACTCACCTGATGTGTCGGAGGTAAACCGGCCAAAGGTGGGAGAGCCTGGCTGGAGAGGCACGGAGAGCAGACGGTCGCTGAGGTTGGGGAGCTGAGTGTAGGTGAGGAAGTCGCCGACTAGGGTGGCTGAGACGGAGAGAGAGGGGTTCACTGCCACCGGGGCTATAGGCGAGAGGATGAGAGTCTCCTGAGGTGGGGGAGAGGGTATAGGGTGCAGAGGGACGAGAGGAATGAGAAGAAGAGAGGAAGGTGAGGGTGGTTGAGAATTCTCAAAAACACCCTGCAAAATGAGGGTGGTTGAGAATTCTCAAAAACACCCTGCAAAATGGGGGTGGTTGAGAGGGAGCGAGAGGGGTCCACTGCCACCAGGACCAAGGGCGAGAGGATGAGTTAGTGACTCCAGTGGTGCTTGAGGGGGTGAGAGAGAGGGCGACGACATGGGTCTGTTTTTGAGTCGACTCAAAAACAGACTCATTACACATGGCGCGGGAGGGGGTGAGAGAGAGGGCGACAGGGGTTCACTGGCACTGGTTCCATGGGCGAGAGGATGAGAGCCTCCTGGAAGATCCTCAGGGGGGAGTGGGGGAAAAGGAAAGCAAGACATGGGAGTGGAAGACTTTGTGCGCTGAGAGGGAGCGAGCGGGGTTCACTGGCACTGGGGCCATGGGCGAGAGGATGAGAGTCTCCTGGGTATTTTTTAGAACTCTCAGAAGTCTCCTGGAAGATCCGCAAGGGGGAGTAAGAATGGAGAATTAAAGGAAGCAAGGAATGAGTTCGGAAGTCTTCGTGCGTTGAGAGGGAGCGAGCGGGGCTCGCTGGCACTGGGGCCATGGGCGAGAGTGTACCTGTGGTAAAGGCGGGGGATGTGTCTACTTTTGAGGCGCCTCAAAAAGAGAGTGTACCTGTGGTGCAGGCGGGGGATGAGGGAAAAGAAAGGCTCGGTACCAACAGAGGAAGAAATTAATTACATCCTTTCCAGCCTGTGTGATAGTAATTTAGTTCTGAGACGTCTCAAGAGTAGATTACTAGCAAACAGAGTCTCCTGTGGCGGAGGAGGGGGTGCATCCTCTGTTCTGAAACGAAAGGACAGAGGAAGAGATTCGGTGCATTGTCTTTTGACTGGAATGATATAGCAGGGTTGCTGAGAGAGAGGATTTTGGGCGGGAACCTGCTCTCCAATCTTGCTTTCTACAACCACTTCACACTTGCTTTCTAGAACCACTTCTTATACATACTCTCTAGAACTTCGTCCCAACCTGTTCCCTTCATCTAGTATCATACATGATAACAGCAATGGCACATGCTGCACACACCTGGATAAAGAGACGACCTTTGAGGCGCCTCAAAAATAGACTCCTCACACCTGGATAAAGAGACGACCTTTGAGGCGCCTCAAAAGTTCGTCCCAACCTGTTCCCTTCATCTCGGATCATACATGATCACAGCAATGACACATGCTGCACACACCTGCTCAGTGGGGCGATAAAGAACTACGGTGGGTGGGGTGATGGGCAGAGGTAGGTGGGGTGATGACGGGCTGAAGTGGGTGGGGTGATAGGTTGAGCTAGGTGGGTTGATGGGCTGAGGTAGGTGGGGTGATGGGTTGAAGTGGGTGGGGTGATAGGTTGAGCTAGGTGGGTTGATGGGCTGAGGTAGGTGGGGTGATGGGTTGAACCCATCTCACCCCTTCGCCCCACACCTCGGCCCATCACACCACACCTCAGCCCATCGCCCCACACCTCGGCCCATCACACCACACCTCAGCCCATCATCACCCCACACCTCCGTCCATCACCCCACACCTACTAGCCGTTCTGACACTGTCCTCCATGGCACCTGTCTCTCACCCATACACCTGCTCCTTGGAGTCCGACTGCAGCGTGGTGATGGTGATCTGGATCTCGAGGGCGAGAAACGTCAGCCTATGCCTCTAGCAGAACACACACCTCCACACACCTGCACACACCTGCACACACCTGCGCACATCTGCACACACCTGCACACACCTGCGCACATCTGCACACACCTGCGCACACCTGCACACACCTGCACACACCTGTTTCCCACGCACCTGCTCCTTGGAGTCCGACAGCAGCTTGCTGATGGTGATCTGGATCTTGAACACAAGGGACGCCAGGCCTATGCCTCTAGCAGAACACACACCTTCACCCACCTGCAAACACCTGCACACACCTGCACACACCTTCACCCACCTGCACACCCCTGCACACACCCTCCAAACACCTGCACACACCTGCAAACAACTGCAAACACGTGTTTCCCACACACCTGCTCCTTGGAGTCCGACAGCAGCTTGCTGATGGTGATCTGGATTTGGAACACGAGGGACGCCAGGCCTATTCGGTACGTGGGGTACCTAGGAAGGGGGGGAGGTGGAGTGCGATATTTTAAGATTAAAGCGCCCTCCTTCATTTCACGTTTAATATCAGGCGCCTTAAAAAATCGATGCCAGCCAGGCCTATGCGGTACATCAGGTGCCCAAGTAGGGGGTGGCGACAGGGGGAGGAGGAATGCAAGAAGAAATGAGGAGGTGGCGACAGGGGGAGGAGGAATGCAAGAAGAAATGAGGAGGTGGCGACAGGGGGGAGAAGGGTGATATCAGCAGAGTAAGTCATTCGTCTAAACACGGTTGAGAATTGCACCGTAAGATTCAAAGGGAGAGCCTTGGAGATTTTTTGTTAATAATGAAGGGAACACTACTGACCAGGTATTGTTGAAGCGAAGGCAATGAGCGCTAGAAGGCACTCCTCCAAAGAAGAGCTCTGCACGAGACACAGACGGACATGGAAGTGAGAAAAGCAGTGCGAAACACCTTCAGAACAAGCTTGCAAATGCATGCATCTGTGTGTACGGAAAGTGATTACACACACACGCATGTGCAAGTGACTACGCCTCTCCTCATCATTTCTCATTGCTCTACTGAAATTGAGCCTGTCTTGTTGTTCCGATGTAAGATTGGCAGGCGGATGGCAATCAAGAATGTTGCACAGCACTTGGAGGAGAGGGTAAACTGTTTGGATGAAGGCCTATTGCTGCGGGTCGAATCCAACTCCTTTTCAGTTGGAGGAGAGGGTAAATTGAATGTTCCGAGCATTACAGTCCGAGCACCATGATGAGGGAGGGGTCCTGTTTTTGAGTTGACCCAAAATCAGACTCTTCTGACCATTACAGGGCCAGCTAGAGGTTCCCCGAGCACCATGATGAGGGGGGGTCCGGTTTTTTAGTTGACTCAAAAGCAGACTTTTCTGACCATTACATCGCCAGCTAGAATTTTCCCGAGCACCATGATGAGGGGGGGGTCTCGCTCGAGAAAATAATCGTACTCCTCACGTGACCAACTTTCGGGACAAGCCAACCTAGTTTGGTTGGGCTTGTTGCCACGCTAGTTGGATCAGGACGAACAAGATTAGTTTCGTGAGCAACAAGACCCCTACCTCATCGTGGTGCTCGGGTTAACATTCGAGCCAGCGCCCTCGACCTCAATGGACAACATAGGTTCTGGCAGGTGGCATGGCAATATGTCGATGTATCCTGTTGTGGTGTTCCTTGGTGTGTGTTACTCTAGTATGCCAGGACAGCTGCAGCATTCTCAGCATACAACCGTTTTCCAGCATCATCTCACAGGCCCTTCGAAACGTTTATGCTCCTAAGTGCTACACAGCACGCCTCACGCCACCCAACCACTCTTATCACCCTTAGGAAATACTTGCCGTCGGCTCACACAGTATCACTCACGATTCCACCATTCTCTTCTCCCGCACCTCTCCATTCCTGCCCTCTGTACTCACTCCGTCGCCACAGGCTGCAGCAGTCCAGGACCTGGACTCCAGGTCGGCCCTGAACTGCTTCGGATTGCCCAGACCATTCTATCAACAGCGCCCCACGTGTCCCCACCACGTGGTGACATTTCCCCATCCTCCCCTCTAGTTTTCATTCCAACATCCCTATTCCTTCCTACCCCCTTCCCTCTGCACTCACTCTGTCGCCACAGGCTGCAGTCCAGATCGGCCCTGAATTGCTGCGGGTTGTCCAGACCAATGGAGTCCTTCCACGTGTCACCACCACTGCAGCTGCAGCAGAACCCCTGAAGAAGGGCGAGTGGAAAGATGGGCGGGATACTGGATGGATGGGCAAGCGGATGCGGAAAGATGGGCGGGGGACTGGGAGAAATGATTTCTTGTGGATTCGTCTTGACCAGCGAAATAGTTGCACGTGCTGTTTGCATGCACGCAGCAGACGCAGGAGCAAGCAGTGTTCATTGTTGACAAGGTTCCTCGACCCAGACCTCAATACTACATGATTGTTGGGAACCCTCGAACCGTCTGGGTCGAGATCTTCTTTTTTTCCCAGCTGCTAAGAACCCTCGCTGTGTTTGAGTCAGCTCACACGCTGTTGGGAGGCCTCAGACCGTCAGGTAGAGGAACCAGCCGCAGGTGGGGGCGCTGTTGTACGCCACAACCCTGCACCCCAATACTCCATCAGGTGTACCTTTTTTTAGAATCATACCTGGCTGTCAGGCACCCTTGAGCCATCAGGATAGAGGAACCAGCCGCAGGTAGGGTCGCTGTCGTACGCCCCATCCCTGCAACCCGTTGTAGTCACCACCACCTCGTATGGCCGGCCATTGAACGACTGACACGTGGCATGCAGGGGTGAGGGTGGAAGGATGTTGAGACATTTAGATCTTGCTGTCACAAGCACCTTCATTGCACCCCGTTGTTGTCACCGCCTTGATGGCCGGCCATTGAGGGGATGACACATGGCAGGAAAAAGGTAGACGCAGGGGGGAAAAGTGGATGGAACTTAAAAGGAAGGAAGAGCATGGGGACGAGCCGCAACTGCAACCCACAAGAGGCACACAAAGGAAGGTAGTGAAGGAACTAGCTTAGAGGAGAAAGGTTTGTTTGAGTAGGGAGCCAAGAGGCTCTATTGTACAAACAAGGAGCAAGGAAGAGATGGAAGGGAAGGTCTCCCATTGGCCATAATGTGGACCAATGGGAGAGGTTGGAGGACAAGCAACCACATGTGGTGCTCTCGGATTGGCCACAATGTGGGCCAATGGGAGAGGTTGCTTGGAAGGTAAGCAACCACAAAGTGTGGTGGTTGGTGATTGGTTGGGTCTTAGGACCAAGGACTATTTGGTTGGAATAGTGCCAACCAAATGTCTAGGACCAAATCCAATCTTGACCAACCCAAATGTGGGGTTGGTCAATTCAACCAACAACCTTCCAATAAATATAATGACTACACCTCCTAATCTAGGCATGCATGTTGTATAGATATATATTTCACAACAGGTAGGCCAAAGGTTAGTTATGCAACCCACAACATATACACACCTTGAAATCCACCACGGTCCTACCTGCAGGAAGGTGAGTGGGTACACAGCATAGACTGGCGTCTTGACCACTGTGATCTTCACAGGGTCTGCTAGCCGCCTCTCCACTCCCCCCCTTCCTCCTCCTCCTCTTCCTCCTCCTCCTCCTGCTGCTCCGCCTGCTGCTCCGCCTGCTGCTCCTCCTGCTGCTGCGGCGGCTGGTGCTGGTGCTGCACCGTTGCTGCCTGTATCATCTCCCCCATCCCCTCCCTTGGTGTTATCTCCCCGTCCTCCTGCAGATCCACTTGTGCTGTCACTGACGCGAGTCAGCACCGCCTCTATGGCCTCTGTGCCTAGCGTCTGGAGGGGAGGGAGCACGGGGCAGAGAGTGTACCATTGGTGCCTGTACCATCTCTCGCATCCCCTCCCTTGGTGTTACCTCCCCCTCTTCCAGCAGAGCCACTTGTGCTGTCAGTGACGCGAGTCAGCACCGCCTCTATGGCCTCGGTTCCGAGAGAGCAGGGGGGACGGAGAGGGGCATGGGTTCTCAAAATGAGGCGCCTCAAACAGACACTGGTGCTGTCAGTGACGCGAGTCAGCACTGCCTCACTGGGGGGCGGTGTTATGAGTAAATTACCCCTTTAGAAAGCCTCTAGACTCACATGGCCGTTGGAGACGGCAAGGGCGATCATGATCTTCCTGCACTTGAAAGACCTTGCCCCCTCTTAGAGACGCTTCAAGAACCTTCAAGAACCTTCAAGAACCTTCAAGAACCTAGAGCAAGTCTTTGTCTTCTGACTCGCATGACCGTTGGAGGCAGCAAGGGAGATCACGATCTTCTTCCTGCACTTCACAGACGTAACTCTCTCCCTACGGCTCCTTAAGATCCTATATACGCACTATCACACCGATATACTCACATGGCCGTTAGAGACAGCAAGGGAGATCACGATCTTCTTCCTGCACTTCACAGACTTAGCCCCCTCCGGCACATAGCTCGGCTGCTGCTGCTGCTGCTGCTGCTGCTGCTGCTGCTCCAGCCCCAACCCTCCCAAAAGAGCAGCAGATCCCTCCGCGAACTCCGTTGCTGCTGCCGCTGCTGGTGCTTCTGGTATTGCACCGTTCGGCTGCATCCCCCCTCCTTTCGTCTGGTCACCTTCGCCCTGGCTATAACCCCTTGCCCCACCACCGTCACCACCCTGAACATACCCCTTCACCCCACCAACAACCCCCCCATCAGCAGTACCCCCACCAGCAACCCCCGCACCAGCAACCCCTCCCTCGGCCACACACATAGTGAGGTCGCTCTTAGCGATGATGCCTGCTGCACACATTAGCACGCCTCTGGATTGCTTCCCAGCCGTCTGATCCCCACCAGGCAGGATCTGGTCCGTCCACGTGCTGACATCCAGCAGCAGCAGAGATATGAAGAGGAGCAGATGCTGACATATTCGATGCATTCTGGCTCCTCGCATACAATCACCCGCCTTGTTGTTGATTCTGCTACTGGTGCTGGTTCTGCTGATGTTGCTTCCTGGTGGTTCTGCTGCTGCTGCTGCTGCTGCTGCCGTTTCTGCTGCTGTTTCTACTGCTGTTTCTACTGCTGTTGCTGCTGCTGTTTCTGCTGCTGTTTCTGCTGCTGTTTCTGCTGCTGTTTCTGCCGCTTGGTGCTACGACGAGATTTAGCGCCGGAGCAAGTTCCCACATAACTTATTCCACACCATGATGCACTATGGCATGATGCCGCTGCGACGCCGGCCGACAATTCCTTGACGCACGCGACGCTACTTATGGCCAACGGATGTACTGCGCGTCCCTTCGATGGCGACAAAAATAAATGAATGGCTGAGGAGGAGGAGCAGGAGGCGATGCTATCTATGGCCGACGGATGCCATGCGCGTCCGCTCCTGATGGGGACCAAATTTAAATGAATGATGAGGAGGAAAAGGAGGAGATGCGCATACGATGCGATGATATCTATGGCCAACGAATGAGATGCGCGTCTGCTCCTGATGGAGAACTCGACACAAGGCGGAGGCAGGCTGAAGCCTCAACAGGAAAAACAAGTAGAATTTACTCTGATTTATTCAGCTCGGACGACACATGGGAGGGAGGAGAAACAAATTACTTCCTATCAACTGAACCTCCCTCGAAAGTCCACCCTGCGAGGACCTTGATGTCTCTCCCTCACGGTCCTTAGTACTGCTGAACCCTGGGTACAGGCTAGGCAAGGGGAGCAAGGTACAGACCTAGACCTTGATGTCTCCCCCTCTCACTCTCCACGCCTCATCTCATGGAGACTTTTGAGTCGACTCCAGAGTCACCTTAGCGTCTCGCCCTCTCTTTCTCCACGCCTCGTGTCATGGATTCCTGCCGTCGTCTCGAGCGACTGCCATGATGTCGGGCGACTTACAACGTGATTTCGCGAAAACTCGGTCCCTCTACCGACGGCGCACACGCGGTCGTCGTGTTCGCCTGAGAATCGATCTGCTCCGTGCAACATCCGTCCCACTAACGTTGACGTAACTGACGGAATCAACGGAACTGTTGCGAGCGCAAATGGTCTGGCGAGCGACGGATTCACCGGTCCGTCGACGACGAACAGCGTGGCCATCGAAAGCCGCGTGGCCATCGAAAGCCGCGAGGCCATAATGTCCAAATGGAACTTCCCCGAGCACAGCCGCTGGTCTGGCGAGCAACGGATTCACCAGTCCGTCCGTCCGTTGACGACGAACGGCGTCGCCATCGAAAACGGCGAGGCCATCGTTAACCTCGCGGTGCGAGCAGGACGTCTCGGAAAAGAGCCGTTTAGAATGATCGCGAGTCGTTAGCGAGCCGCTATGGATTTTTTACACCAGTAAAAGGCTTTTCAGTACACGTGTAACGTTTCAGAACAGAAGCCGTTAGCGAAGCGAGCCGCTAGTAAGGAGCCGTTGAGGATAACGAGCGGGTGGTTGGGAGGAATGGCCCGATTCGATGCCGACGCGCGGGTTGATGGTTGAAGAAAGGGGTTCATCCCGCGCAGAACTCGTGACTCGAGGACGGAAGAGGAGGAGCATCATGGATAATATGACACCATTCCATATCAACACGCGACATCCATGAGCTGGATGTCGAACTAATGCGACAAGAATTGGAAGCTGAAGTTTCACACACCGTCTACAGGTGAGCGGCGCAATTTCGCCAGCTGGTTGGCGTGCTGTCGCCATTGATTCAGGTGAAACGATTTTGAAGCCGTGACATACGGCAGCTGAATTCCAACAAATTCAGTTGGGTTGGGACTGACTGAAACTGGAGGGGGAGTTCGCCTGACTCGCGTGCTCAATAAACTTCAAGATATCCGCGTTATTGGGCGTCGGCGTGCTGTCAGGCTTTCCGCCGAACCATGTGCACGACTGAGAGTGCTATACGCGTATTGGATACTGAGTACATACATAGAAACTGACATACTGCATATTGATCATACATAGAAATTGACTTGGGTTCCACCCGCAGGATGTGCCTCAGGCAGAGCGCATAGCTTGGGAGACCTGGAATGGAGTATCGTGTGGAATGAACCCATCGGGTGTGGAGCGGGACACTGAAGTATGACCATTGACCACCATCGAATCACCATCAGGTGGTTTCTCATCTCACTGCGGTGTTGCGTCATGTGAGTTGTAACAGGCAATTCCGACCGGCCGGCGGCCGTCAATGATGAACGAACCAGAGCCATAAATCACTCCGTACGTAACCACTTCAGGCTCGCGGCACGAATTCGCCTTGTTGAGTCAGTAAGAGTGGTGCAAAAGCATTCGAAATTCACTTGCTGACGTTTCGTTTGACCAAGCGAAAGAAAGCGTATACAATACCTCGCGAACATTACCAGGCAGGAGTGCCCCTCAACGCTCGATATCCACCACAGGATGACTGACCGTGGAGCTACCGTGCCCCTCTCGAAACAAGCTGACTACGATTGACTGCGGTTGAGTGTGGTAAGATGAGTGGGCAGGGAGGGGAACAGCTGGCTATACGAGCCCTAGCAGGCAGTCAGCGCTCTCAGTGGTAACCCTCAGTGGTACCGGTAACCCCCAGCAGTTCGCACATGTCTCGGGACCAGGGAGGGAAGCACGAAGAGCACAGAAATGTGTGCGTGGAGGTATCAGCAGCCCACGTCTTTTCTGGTGCACCCAAAGCGCGATCAGTGAGCAGGGAGGGGCACGGCTGGCAGTATGAGGCCGAGGAGGCAGTCAGGGCTATCCGTGGTAACCCCCAGCAGCTCGCACATGTCTCGGGACCAGGGCAGCACGTAGAGCATACGTGGCCACACGCCATTGGCTGGAGGGATCTTCACCACCCCCGCGCGCTCCTTCTGCCGCAAATAGTCCACCATTCGCGTGAACTGTGATGATGGGGGGAAAGGAGAGGAAAGGGAAGAGTTGGGAGGGAACAGGGGTGTATTGTAACACCACACGGGCCGGAGGGATCTTCACCACCCCCGCATGCTGCTTCTGCCGCAATTAGTCGACAATGCGCGTGAACTGTGATGATGGGGGGGAGGAGCAGGGGGTAAGGGTGGAGAAGATGGGGGGAAGGGGGAAGGAGAGGGAGGGAAGGGGGGAGAAGAGGGGGTGAAGGGGGGAGGAGAAGGGGGGGGGGGAGGATGGATGGGTGGGTTTGTTTTCAGAGCCAGCTAGAAAAAAACTCCTTCGGGCTGAAAAAGAGTCCACCATGGGCGAGAAGTGCGTGTGTGAATGGAGGGGGGAGAGGAGTGCCAGGTGGGGGAGGTGGAGGTGGAGGGACGAAAACAGCATTGGTGGCGGAGCCACAAATAGATGCAAAGAGCCCACTCCGAGTGAGCTGTGTGAGGGGAAGAGGATGGCATGGGGGGTTGGGGGGGTGGGGGGGAGGAGGGGGCTCACTGCTGCAGATAGTCGACCGTCAGAGTGACCTGTGTGAGGGGGGGGGTAGGGAGGATCGGGTAAAGATGGGAAGGGAAAGGGGGCTATTTTTGAGGCGCCTCAAACAAGGGGAGTGAGGAGGGGGCTCACTGTTGCACGTAGTCAAACAGAGTGACCTGTGTGAGGGGGCGCAGGGGGGAAGGGTAAAGATGCGAAGGGAAAGGGCTGTTTGATACCACCACATTGGTTGGGGGGGGTCTTCACCACTCCCGCCGATCCGCCTGACGCAAATATTCAACTATCCGTGGAGGGGGGAAAAGGGCTGGGAGGACAAACTTTTGAGTCGACTCAAAAGCAAATATTCAACTATCCGTGGAGGGGGGAAAAGTACTGGGAGGAAAAACGCCTCAAATAAACGAAAAACTCACCCCAGACGACAGCCTGAGAAAGGGACTGTTGAGCGAGACACAACGGAAGTGAAGGGAAGTGGGAAAGGAATGCACACCTCCCTCTGTGGGAAACACGAGAGTGCACCAAGGCTCACCCCAAGTCAACGAAGACTCACCCCAGAGGAAGGGCCTCCGGTGTCTGCTGAGCGAGATGCGGTGGACGTGGAGGGGAGTGGGAAGAGAATGCACACCTCCCTCTGGCGGACACAAAGGCAAGCAGAACGAGAAACAGGGAAATACTTAGCAGGACACAGAGCAACAGAGGGGCAACCAGGCAGGGCAGCGGTGCACTGTACAATGCACTGTACGGTGCACTGTTGTACTGTAGACAGGTCTGTCTGAAGAATCGATTATTGCAATGCAATGGGATGGAGGGATGGAGGGATGGAGGGATGGAGGGAGGTGACTACGAGAAGGCAGGGCAGCGGTGCATTGTACGGTGCACTGTTGTACTGTAGACAGGGCTGTCTGAAGAATCAATTATTGCAATGCAATGGGATGGGATGGGATGGGATGGAGGGATGGAGGGATGGAGAGAGGTGACTACGAGAAGGCAGGGTAGCGGTGCACTGTACGGTGCACTGTTGTACTGTAGACAGGGCTGTCTGAAGAATCGATTATTGCAATGCAATGGGATGGGATGGGATGGGATGGGATGGAGGGATGGAGGGAGGTGACTACGAGAAGGCAGAGAGAACAGGAGAGGCATGGCAATGAGAATGGGGTTTGGAACTGATGTGCCGTGATTGTGATCAAACGCAATGGAAGCTGCCTGCCTCCACAATGGCCTCACGACGCTTTTAACAGCTTTCATCACTTGACGGGATCGAGTGGCCGGGGAATGAGCGAAGGAGAACGATTTCACTGGAAAAGAACCCTACCCGAGAGCTGGGACAGGCATTGAAAGTATTCCGAACTGCCCGGAAATCTGCCCGCTTGGTCACATCTAGCTTATCAGGCCACCTGCCAGACGAAACGTGCAGTCGAGAAGCAAAACGTGGGAATTGGAACCAGCGAAATTACAATCATGCAGAGTGAGTAGCTAAGCTCCAGAAATTGAGAATCCCCTTATAATTACTCCTAGTTAGCACTGAAGAGAAGCCGAGATAAGTTTTACGCAGTAAACTCACTTCAGCAGCAGTAGCACAAGATCATACAGTTGGAAACCCACCCCAGAGGCTCGTGTTGCCCTGCATTGCAACGGCCACATGGCAGTACAGCACAGAGCTCATGCTACATCACCCAGTGAGTTCCTCCTGCCCTGCGCTCTCAGCACAGACTCACACTCACTCACCCCAGAGGCTCGTGTTGCCCTGCAGTGTGAGAGACGTCGTAGCGGCTCCCCCTGACCTGCTGCCTGGCAGCGGCCACGTGGCAGTACATCACCCCGCTCTTGCACAGAGCAAAGCGCGGCAGCAGCGACAGCTGCAGGTGCTGCTGCTGATGCCTCTGCGCCTGCAGCTCCTGAAGCACCATCTGCTGCTGCTGCTGCTCCTCCTCCTTCCCCCCTCCCTCTGACCGTCATCTCTCTTCCCCTCTGCGCCCCCTCCACCGTCCTTCTCCCTCTCAGCCCCTCTCTCCTGATCCAAAGGCGCAACACCCGCAGCAGCAGAAACACCGGCAATAGCAGCACCAGCAGCAGCAGAAGCGGCAGCAGCAGCTGCAGCAGGTGGGGCTGGAAGAGGAGAGGAAGCGGGATGGGGAGGAGGGGGAACAGGAAGAACAGCCGAAGGCTCCAGTGCCGGGGGCTCAAGTGGTGGAGGCGGGGGCGGAGGAGGAGGCGGCGCGGGTGGCAGTGGTGTCGTAGGAAAGCGAGGAGGGGAGGTTAGTGAAACAGAAACCGGGGGTTGGGAGGCAGAAGTGTGTGGCATGGAGACGTGTCGTATAGTTGCATCTTCATCATCATCAAAATCCATATCTGTCTCCTCCTGCGTCCCCCCTCCTTCCTGTGTTGCTGTGCCCTCCTGTGCGCTACCTGCCCCCATGACCATACCCGAAAAAGACAGAGGACCCCCAACACCACCCACTGCAATCCCTCCTCGTTCCCCAGCCCCTCTCCCCTCCCTTCCCTCAGCTGACCCCCCCACACCGGCTGATGGTTCCGTGAGAGGAACAGTAGATGCTGGGGGAGGGAGGGGGGGGAGAGGAGTGACAGGGGCGGCAGTGGGGGGGAGAGGAACGGCGGCAGATGGAGCAGCGGGGGGAGGAGGGGGAAAGGGGGGAGGAGGAGGCAGAGAGGGGAAGGCGGTCCCTACTGCTGTTGCTGCTACTGCTGCTGCTGTTGCCACTGCTCCTCCTAACCCCGTTACTTGCCCTGCTGCAGTCGCCCCAGCAGTAGAGCCATCTGCTGCCCTTCCGCTGTTCCCCGACCCTACGGATCCAAAGGAAGGGGGCGTTGATATTGCTCCTGTTGCCGCTGCGCCTGATGTTACACCTGATGTTACACCTGTTGCGACACCTGTCGTAACACCTGGCAGTCTGCCTCGAACGGGGCCCACGAGGTGGGAGGGATGGGTTGGGAGAGAGGCGGAGGAGGAGGGGATGTGCGGGTGGGGGGGTTCCCTGATATCCCATCTGCTACCACTGCCACTTGCCGTGAGCCTAGGAGTACCCTCCTGTGTAACAATATTACCACCACCACCAGCAGAAGCAGCAGGTGCACTACTGCCAGCAGCGGCGCCAGAGTGCGAAGCAGAGGTGCCTGAAACAGCGGCGGCCGCAGCAGCAGCGGCCGCTGCAGCCGCGGCTGCAGCTGCTGCAATGTTGCCTGCAGCTAGCTGCTGCTCTGCCTGCTGCAGCGATAGGGCCGAATTGCTGCTCACACAGGGTGAGGGACAGAGAAACGGAGGAGAAAAGGGAGGTCGTTTTGAGCCCTAGGAATGCGGCTAGCTGCTGCTCTGCCTGCTGCAGCGATAGGGCCGAATTGCTGCTCACACAGGGTGAGGGACAGAGAAACGGAGGAGAAAAGGGAGGTCGTTTTAAGCCCTAGGAATGCGGCTAGCTGCTGCTCTGCCTGCTGCAGCGATAGGGCCGAATTGCTGCTCACACAGGGTGACGGGCAGAGAAACGGAGGAGAAAAGGGAGGTCGTTTTAAGCCCTAGGAATGCGGCTAGCTGCTCCTCTGCCTGCTGCAGCGATAGGGCCGAATTGCTGCTCACACAGGGTGACGGGCAGAGAAACGGAGGAGAAAAGGGAGGTCGTTTTGAGCCCTAGGAATGCGGCTAGCTGCTGCTCTGCCTGCTGCAGCGATAGGGCCGAATTGCTGCTCACACAGGGTGACGGACAGAGAAACGGAGGAGAAAAGGGAGGTCGTTTTAAGCCCTAGGAATGCAGCTAGTTGCTGCTCTGCCTGCTGCAGTGATAGGGCCGAATTGCTGCTCACACAGGGTGACGGGCAGAGAAACGGAGGAGAAAAGGGAGGTCGTTTTGAGCCCTAGGAATGCGGCTAGCTGCTGCTCTGCCTGCTGCAGCGATAGGGCCGAATTGCTGCTCACACAGGGTGACGGGCAGAGAAACGGAGGAGAAAAGGGAGGTCGTTTTGAGCCCTAGGAATGCGGCTAGCTGCTGCTCTGCCTGCTGCAGCGATAGGGCCGAATTGCTGCTCACACAGGGTGACGGGCAGAGAAACGGAGGAGAAAGGGGAGGTCGTTTTAAGCCCTAGGAATGCGGCTAGCTGCTGCTCTGCCTGCTGCAGCGATAGGGCCGAATTGCTGCTCACACAGGGTGACGGGCAGAGAAACGGAGGAGAAAAGGAAGGTCGGTTTAAGCCCTAGGAATGCGGCTAGCTGCTGCTCTGCCTGCTGCAGCGATAGGGCCGAATTGCTGCTCACACAGGGTGACGGGCAGAGAAACGGAGGAGAAAAGGGAGGTCGTTTTGAGCCCTAGGAATGCGGCTAGCTGCTGCTCTGCCTGCTGCAGCGATAGGGCCGAATTGCTGCTCACACAGGGTGACGGGCAGAGAAACGGAGGAGAAAAGGGAGGTCGTTTTGAGCCCTAGGAATGCGGCTAGCTGCTGCTCTGCCTGCTGCAGCGATAGGGCCGAATTGCTGCTCACACAGGGTGACGGACAGAGAAACGGAGGAGAAAAGGGAGGTCGTTTTAAGCCCTAGGAATGCAGCTAGTTGCTGCTCTGCCTGCTGCAGTGATAGGGCCGAATTGCTGCTCACACAGGGTGACGGGCAGAGAAACGGAGGAGAAAAGGGAGGTCGTTTTGAGCCCTAGGAATGCGGCTAGCTGCTGCTCTGCCTGCTGCAGCGATAGGGCCGAATTGCTGCTCACACAGGGTGACGGGCAGAGAAACGGAGGAGAAAAGGGAGGTCGTTTTGAGCCCTAGGAATGCGGCTAGCTGCTGCTCTGCCTGCTGCAGCGATAGGGCCGAATTGCTGCTCACACAGGGTGACGGGCAGAGAAACGGAGGAGAAAGGGGAGGTCGTTTTAAGCCCTAGGAATGCGGCTAGCTGCTGCTCTGCCTGCTGCAGCGATAGGGCCGAATTGCTGCTCACACAGGGTGACGGGCAGAGAAACGGAGGAGAAAAGGAAGGTCGGTTTAAGCCCTAGGAATGCGGCTAGCTGCTGCTCTGCCTGCTGCAGCGATAGGGCCGAATTGCTGCTCACACAGGGTGACGGGCAGAGAAACGGAGGAGAAAAGGGAGGTCGTTTTGAGCCCTAGGAATGCGGCTAGCTGCTGCTCTGCCTGCTGCAGCGATAGGGCCGAATTGCTGCTCACACAGGGTGACGGGCAGAGAAACGGAGGAGAAAGGGGAGGTCGTTTTGAGCCCTAGGAATGCGGCTAGCTGCTGCTCTGCCTGCTGCAGCGATAGGGCCGAATTGCTGCTCACACAGGGTGACGGGCAGAGAAACGGAGGAGAAAAGGGAGGTCGTTTTAAGCACTAGGAATGCGGCTAGCTGCTGCTCTGCCTGCTGCAGCGATAGGGCCGAATTGCTGCTCACACAGGGTGACGGGCAGAGAAACGGAGGAGAAAAGGGAGGTCGTTTTGAGCCCTAGGAATGCAGCTAGTTGCTGCTCTGCCTGCTGCAGCGATAGGGCCGAATTGCTGCTCACACAGGGTGACGGGCAGAGAAACGGAGGAGAAAAGGGAGGTCGTTTTAAGCCCTAGGAATGCGGCTAGCTGCTGCTCTGCCTGCTGCAGCAATAGGGCCGAATTGCTGCTGACATGGGATGACAAACACAATACGGGAAAGGAAGGAGAATTCGGGTCTTGCGGCACCAACGAATGCAGCAGCACCACCAGCAGCAGCAGCAGCAGCACCAGCAGCAGCAGCAGCCGCCTCTACGCGATCAGACTCTACAAATCGGCATGGACCGCGCACTCCGCACCTGCGTCACATACCCCCGGCCCACCGCAGCTGCAGTGAAAACACCCGCTCTCAGCGTGCTCACTTGAATTCAACATGGACTGCCGAGACAAATCGTTTTGACTCCACAACGTTCCTGAGAGCCGTTGCTGCAGCCTCCACCCGATCAAACTCAATGAACGTACCGTGCATAGCCGTTCAACAGTCAACTTGCACGGCACCGGCTCCGCATAGACCGCTGCACTGAAAAGTCGTTTTTTTCTCCACATGCTCACCTGAATTCAACTTGCACAGCTGAATCGAATCTCTCCGAAATCACGATGTTCGTGAGAGCTGTAGCCGCAGCCTCCACGCGATCAAACTCGATGAACCGGCACGGACCCCTCATGGACCGCGCACTCCTCACCCGCGTCACATACCCCCGACCCCCCGCCGCCGCTGTGAATATCCCCTGCAGCTCGGACTCGGACAGGCTGAAAGCCGCCATTGCTGCTGCTGCACTGGCTGCTGACTGGGTGGAGATCGCCTGCTCGGATATGCCCATCCAGAGGGTGCTTGTGGGCACGCGCTCCTTGCCTCCTGTCCCGTACACCACTCCTCCTGCACCCAAACCTGTCCCCATTCCTGTCCCCATTCCTGTCCCCATTCCTGTGCCCAGTCCGCCTCCCACTCCCCCACCCATTCCTGAACCCATTCCGCCAGTACTCAATCCTCCTACTCCGCTTCCTGGTATGCCTGCCGCGCCTGCTGCTGCTGTTCCTCCTCCCCCCTCTTGGTCCCTCTCTCGTGCTCCACCCTCGCCTGTCCCTGCCACACCTCCACCCAAGCCCAGCCCGGAACCCAAACCTGGCACCGAACCTCCTCCCAAGCCTCCGCCCAGGCCTGCACCCATGGTTCGGAGGAACCTGAGGCTGGCAGCGGACTGGGCGGCAGCAGAGTGGGCGGCGAGGCTGTGGGCGGCACCAGGGGTGAAGGGGAGGCGGGAGGGGAGGCCTGAGAGGGGGAGGAAGGCGAGGGGCATGAGGCGGGCGGCGGGGGAAGAGGAGAGGGCTTGCAGGTGCTGCAGGTGGGAGAGGGAGGAGGCGGGCTGCTGGGGAGAGGACGCTGCCCGCGATGCTGCGTGCTTGAACTCCACCTGAAGGAAGAGGAGGGAGGAGGGAGACGGGGGAGAAAGGGAGAGAGAGGTGCAGTGAGGGCAGGGATTGGGAGGAAAACGGGGGGAAGGGGAGCAGAAGGGGAGAGAGGAAGGGAGACCTGGGAGGGGGAGGGGTGAGCAGTGAGGGAGGAGAGGGCTTGCAGGTGCTGCAGGTGGGAGAGGGAGGAGGTGGGCTGTTGAGGGGAGGATGCTGCGCCGCGATGCTGCGTGCTTGAACTCCACCTGGGATGGGGTACAGAAGAGGAGAGCGGAAGGGGAGGGAAGCACAGGGGGAGGGAGGGGAGGAGGGTGGGGGGAGGGGAGGGGGGCTGTTGGGTGAGGAGAGAGGTGAGGAGAAGAAATCAAATGGGGGAGACCAGGGGGGAAAGGGCAGGGCAGGGCAGGGGCAGGGCAGGGCAGGGCAGGGCAGGGCAGGGCAGGGCAGGGCAGGGCAGGGCAGGGCAGGGCAGGGCAGGGCAGGGCAGGGCAGGGCAGGGCAGGGCAGGGCAGGGCAGGGCAGGGCAGGGCAGGGCAGGGCAGGGCAGGGCAGGGCAGGGCAGGCAGGGCAGGGCAGGGCAGGCAGGGCAGGGCAGGGCAGGGCAGGGCAGGGCAGGGCAGGGCAGGGCAGGGCAGGGCAGGGCAGGGCAGGGCAGGGCAGGGCAGGGCAGGGCCTGCAGTGCGGGAAACTGGTAGCGAGAATGACACTGGAAAAAAGGTCATGCCTGATGTGATCGCTCGATCATACCTGCATGCAGGAGGAGCCGTATCGCGCGCCATTAAGTCGGGACCGAGCAAGAATAGCAGACTCTGCCGATCGGAAATCAATGAAAGCCGACACGAGAGCAGCCCCAGATTGACCCCTCGCCCCTTCTGCTCCTCCTCCCGCTCCTCCTGCACCACCCCCATCACTTTCCCCACCACTGAACCCACTGCCACCACCAGCAGCAGCCCCTGTTGCCCCTGCCACCCCTGCCACCCCTGCCACCCCTGCCGCCTCTTGCTGAGCTGGCGGCTTGACAAAGCGCCAGCTCGTGATCTCGCCGTACTGCGCAAAGGCCGACAAGATCTCGTGCTCGGGGACCGTCGGATCGATCTTCCCCACCCATAGATGCCGGGCAGCAGACGGGCCGCCCATCACCAGTGCTGAAGTCATCCCTGATGCGGCTGCTGCTGCCGCTGCTACAGCCTGAGCCCCAGGGGTGTTGGCTGCTGCTGCTGCTACAGCCGCTGCAAGTGCCTGCTGGGTTGTTGTGTGGGTAGGAGTGAACCCCACTCCAGCTGGTGTGGCTGGTGTTGCTGGTGTGCCTGGTGTTGCTGCTGCTGCTGCTGCTGCTGCTGCTGCTGCTGCTGCTCGTGCTGCTGGTGGGGCGGCTGACGGGGGAGTGGCGGATGCTGACCCACGGAGAGACGGGGAGAGAGCAGCGGCAGCAGCAGCTGAAGCAGCTGCCGCAGCAGCAGCAGCGGAAGAATGAATGGCAGTGCCAGGAAAACCCCCAAAGCCACCAGCAGCTGCTGCTGGCGATGGTGATGGCGATGGCGATGGTGAACCTCCTGCTGCTGTGGCAGACAGAGGAGGAGTCGTTGCTGGAGGAAAACCTCTCTCCCTACTCCCCCCCCTCCTGAAAGCACCTCCTATGCCACTGTCACCCCCACCATCACCACCATCCGAAGCCCCACCACGCACATACCCACTCTCCCCCCCACCTTCCCCCTCTCCTCCTACCCCTCCTGCCCCTCCTGTCCCTCCCCCTGCTGCTGGCACCACCCCTCGTTTTAAGAACATCAGTGCCATGTTCGCATCTTCCTGCCTCCTGAATTCCAGGAGCAGCGCGCTGGCGCTGACTAGGACGGACACGTGGGCGGGCGGCGGGACGCCAGCGAATGCCAGCCGCTGCAGCAGGCTCTCCTTCGCACTGGCACTGTTCACGCCGCCCACCCACACGTGCAGCCGAGAAGCGGGCGGCAAGGCTTCAGCAGCACCAGCACTACCAGCAGCAGCAGCAGCAGCAGCAGCAGCAGGAGTAAGAGGAGGAGGAAGGGGAGGGGTGCCTGCTCGCCCCATCTCCACCCCTCTCTCTCCCCCCATACCAACCCCCACCCCTGCAAACCCCCCCATATGCGCCCCCAGAAACCCTAACCCTAAACCCCTCCCTGCAGCAGCAGCAGCAGCAGCAGCAGCAGCCGCCGCAGCAGCAGCAGCAGCGCCTATAGGGAGACCCAAACCTCTCCGGCCACCAGCAACCAAGCCCAGGGGAGAGTTTATGAGACTCGGAGAGAAGCCAGTCTGCCTCACTCCTCCACTGTCTCTGAGCCCGAGCACCCGAAGGCTATCTCTCCCCTCTCGCTGGCTATCCCGGTCACCATCGCGCTCCCTCCCCTCTGTTCCTGTCTCTCCTCTCTCTCGTGCCACCAACCCGCCCCCAGGTAAACCTCCCCCGGGCCCATCCCCAAAGCGCACTTGCAGCCTCCTCCCCCAAAGGACCACCCCGTTCAACCCCTCCCTCGCCCTCACCGCCTCCCGTACAGTCACCATCGTTACAGTCACATGCACCGGCCCACCAATGTCCCTGCCTCCCCCCCCTCCTCCCCCTCCTCCCCCTCCGCCCCCTCCGCCCACAATCCACACGTCATCCACCGGGCCGAATTTCTCGAAGAGTGATCGCAGCACCGTCCGATGGCCTTCCCCAGATAAGCCTTCCACCGGGAGAGGCGTCCCCGCCTCGGAGCAGAAAGTGAGCTCTAGAAACCGGGTCACCGTAAACACCTCCCCATCCCACGACCACCCAGATACACCTGAACCAGCACCTGAACCAGCACCAGCACCAGCTGCCACTCCTGCTCCTCCTGTCGCCCCAACCCTCTCGGCTTCCCTCTGTTGCTGGTCCTTCCCCCCTCCGCCCCTCTCGTCCCTCTCTCCCTCGCCCCTGTCACCAACCCCACCACCAGCACCAGTTTTAACACCACCACCAGCACCAGCAGCACCACCAGCAGAAGCGGCACCAGCCATAGCAGTAGCAGCAGCCGCCGCAGCAGAGGCAGCAGAAGCATCCCTTAGGGAAGCCAGCAGCGACTGGAGAGAGTACCAGGAGTCCCCCAGGGAGTCTATGGCCGCCGAGCCACTTCGCCGAACCTGCTGCAGCACCGCAGCGAGCCACCGGAGCGACTCCGGACGTCCCTCCAGAGCCTGAAAGGCCATGCTGGACTGCTCCCTCGCCCTCTTCCGCTTGCTCCTAGCGCTCTCCCTCTCGCTGGATTCCTCTCCCCGCTCCGATTCCTCCCTCCTCTCCCTCCCACCTTCCTTCTCCTCCCTAAAGCCATCCTTCGTTTTCTCCCCCTCCGCGTTTCCCACCTGCTCTGCCTCCTCCTCGCCCTCGTCCTCGTCCTTCGCTCCCTCCTCTTTCTTGTTCGAATCGCTGTCCCCACCATTTCCGCCCCCCTTTCCAACACCAGGACCGAAGTCCTTTTCATTTACACCGGCAGCCATCCCCTTGTCCCTTTCCCCCTCCTCCTCCTCTTCCCTCTCGTCCCCTGCTCTCCCTTCCACCCCTCCATCCGCTCCTCCCTCCTCCCCCCTCCTCTCCTCCTCACCTACTTTAACCCTCTTTGCCTTCCTACCCTCCATACCCTCAGATTCCCCCTCCCCAGTTAAACCCGCAACCTCCCGAGGGGCAGTCACCTGTAGCAGAAAAGAGATCGCCTGTTTGCCTCTCTGCCCCTCACCACTCCTCCCCACCCCTCCGCTTCCCCCCGTCCGTGCCTGCTCTATCGCCGCCCCAAGCATCGCTTCCGGCTGTAGCTGCATCGCCCGAACCACTGCCGCTGCCACGATCTGCTTTACCGAGGCTAGCTCCGGGCCTGAGGTCAGCTCCAGGCCTCCGTCCGAGCCTGGGTCTGGTGGTAACCCTACTGCTGTGCTGCTGCTGCTGCTGTTCCTGTGCTTATCAGCATCGTAAGAAGTGCCAGATTCAGGGGAAACTCCCCGTTTACCATCTGCTGCTGCTGCTGCTGCTGCTGCTGCTGATGATGATGATGATGCTGCTGCTGCCACCCCATCTGCTGTTGCAAAACGGGCGCTTAGATCGGTAATCAAGGAAGGGGCATTGAGCTCACCTGCACCACCATCACTACCACCCGCACCACCAGAATCACCAGCGCTATCACCAGCAGCAACAGCAGCTGCAGCTGCTGAGTCAGGGTCATAAAAAGGAGGCAGGGGCAGCGTGCAGTCGGGATGCAAGTGAGACAGGAGGAAGCGGGCCACGTCCCGAGAGACAGCGGAGGAGAGGTAGGTGGGGGCGGAAGTGCGGGAGGAGGGGGCTGTAGCGGACGCTGCTGCCGCCGCTACAGCCAGGATGGACGCCAGGCCGAGAAACGCTGACCGCACCGTCGCCATGATCACCTTGGTGTCGTCAGCAGGGGGACCTAGATCCCGCCTGCATGCTGCTTTGGTGGCGGAAGTGGATTTGGTGGTGATGAAGGCAGCGGCGGTGGTGGTGGTGATGGCAGTGGCGGTGGTGGTGGTGATGGCAGCGGCCTCCTTTGCCCCCGTGGGATCAGATCCAGGCACTGATGCCTCAACCCCCTGATCTCCTGAGCCAACCTGCGCACAGGCAGCCACAGCTGCCGAATCCGGCTCTTCGTCCCGTACAACTGCCGTTCTTCCACTATCAACTGCTATCCCTGCGCCCCCCTGCTCTCCCCCCTCCCCCTCTCGCCGCTGCAGTTCCCCCCCATCCCCCTGTCGCTGCTCCGCCTCCCTCCCCTCGCCATCTCTCTGTAGCACCCCTCCCCCCTCCCCCTCTCGCTGTCGCAGCTCCACCACACACCAGTCCGCCAGCTGCATGAGCGTCTGCGCTGCGTCCGGCAATCCCGAGGGGCAGAAGCGCGCGTAGCGGGGGATCAGCCCCGCTGCGACCCTTCGTACACTGATACAGCCTGCGCGTGCGTTAGGGCGGAAGAGAGGGCGGGGGGGAGGGGGGAGGGGGATCGGAAACAGGTCAGTACGCCAGCTGTATGAGCGTCTGCGCCGTGTCTGGCAGCCCCGAGGGCAGAAGCAAGCGTAGCGGGGGATTAGCCCTGCTGCGATCCCCGGCACGCTAATGCAGCCAGGCAGGGGAGGAGGCGGGGAGAAAAGAGGGGGGGGGGGGGGGGGGAGGGGAGGAGAGGGGGATGGAAGCAAGGAAAGGAAGACCCACAGGGAAGGCGAAGGCAAAGGCGAGGGTTTTGGTAGTCCCCCGTGGCCTGAGCAGATTGCTTTTGAGTCGACTCAAGATGCCAAGGGGAAGGCAAAGCGGAACGCAGAGGAAGGCGGCGTTCCAAGAGGAAGCCGCCTGAATGTCTTTATCCGCAACCAGCTCCCCCCCGTCGTCTCTCCCCTTATTTTCCCAAAACTAACCCATACCCCATACCTGTTGGAAGCCCTACTGCAGCTGCGGGCAGCCAGGCGTTGACCGACACACTTTACAAGCGCTCTCGCATAAGCATTCCTTCAATACCGTCCAACCGCATACCCTGAGCCGCGTCCAGCATGGCAAAGAACGCCGCCTGGATGTCTTTATCCGCAACCGGCTCCCCGCCATCGCCTCTCCGCCGCTGCAGCGCTCCGCGCAAGCGGCCGTACGCGCGGAACACCGCCGCCAGCTGCGCGCGATTCCCCGCCTTCGCCGCGCGATCCGCGGAGCTAAGACCGCAGCTCCCCTCGAATCCGCCGTCGGAGCCGGCTTTAAACGCCGGACGACTAGCGATTGCCTTCGCCGCTGCCATGTCGCAGACGATTCTAGACGCTTCTAGACGGTTCTTACTGGCGTTTCTAGACGGTTTTACTGACGTTTTTAGACGGTTCTTACGGACGCTTGTAGACGGTTCTTACTGACCGCTCGAGCCGAAGAGCACGCAATGTCGGGCCAGCACTGATGAACGCGGACGCTGGCGGTTAGAGTGGCGCTATGCTACCGATTAACGAACCGACCCACAACAGACGACGACTTAAAGACATCAGGAAAATGAAATTGGAGCGGAGGTGATCCTCGCACGTTCAGTTATATGCCGCTACTATGTAGCGTAATAAGGTTGCTGCTAGAAGCGAGGCGCCGGACGGATTTGCGAGGAACCTAGGGGACGGCCATGAAGATGGCTCCTGGCCAAGCGAAGGAGGATCAGCGAAGGCATCTCAAAAGCAGCTCCGATCCTTGTTTCACGATCGTGTGAAAAGAACGTGCCATAGCGCAGCTGTTATAAATACTCTGAATCATACTAGCATAAGTAGGTGCTTTTACACACTAGTGGGATTCTTAGGCCCCTAGGAGACAATAGCAAACGGTTTAGGCTACCAACGCATTGTAATTGATCACAATTTTAGCGTAGGTGATACTATCACACCATATCTAGTCCCCTCCCCACCAACTCTCCAGACCCCAACTCATGCCCCACCAACCTAGCTTCCCATGCTCGCCAAAGCCAAATCTGGAGATTCAAGACCCACTGGGCTCCTACCGCTGCTGGGAGCAGCACCTGTACCGACAGAAGCAGTAGCACCAGCGAAAATTTCTGCTGCTCCTCTGCTAGCATCACAGGCATACACGCTTGCCACGCCGTCAGCAGCAGCTGCGTCACCAGCAGCTACGTCAGCAGCAGCTGTGCCAGCAGCACCCGCTGCATTCCGTAGGTCAGAAGCACCTTGTGCTGCTTGCACTGCTTGGGCTCCTCCCAGCTCTGCCTCTGCACTCACTTCCTCCACATCCATCCATTCGTTAGCCTGCCGGATGCTCTCACTCTCTGGCCTCTCGCACCCCTCCCCCTCATTCCCCACTGCATTTCCTTCCCTCGGAATTTCTTGCATTATTCCATAAGGCGACGCTGTAACGGGTGCATCTGTAACGGGTGAGGCTGGGGGGATGTGGTGAGCAGGTGAGGAGTGGGCCGCTGGTAGCGTGTACGGGGTTGGAGACATGGTTAGGGAAGGCGAGGGGAGGGCGAGGGACGGGGAGGGAAAGGAGGAGGGCAAAGAGGGAGACGGGAAGGAGGATAGGTGCGGGAATGGGCTCAAAGGAGGCCCGTAGAGCTCCGATCCTGCGCCAAACATGCCCGGGGCCACCGAACCAAACGAGGCACCACCAAACCCACTGCCACTGTAATCACCAGAAGGGAAGACAGCAGCAGCCGCAGCAGCAGCAGCGGCAGTAGCAGCAGCAGCAGCAGCAAGACCAGAAACAGCACCAGTGCAGCCGCCACTGCTACTACCTAGTTGCTCCCTGGAGCCTAAGGAACCACCGCCGCCAAAGCTGGTGCCAAACGTGCTGCCAGTGCTGCCACCTGTGATGCCAGCAGTACTAGCATAGGTGTTGCAAAGGGTGCTCCCACTGCTCGCTCCTCCCGCTGGTGATGTGGGCTTGTGCGCAGGGCTGTGGCTGATGATCCATGAGTCGGCGGCTGCTGCCGCACCAGAGTGCATGAGGCCGCCTGGGGAGCTGGGGGCATACACGTACTGCTTCTGGGCTGGAGCAGACGAATCTGTGAGGGTACCAGCGGTTGTTAGAGCGGCAGGGTCTTCTAGCGCAGCGGCACGGCCTGCTAGGTCCACTGGGTAGACAGGGTCCGCTGGGTCTGCAGCCATTGCCTCCATTCCCTCTCGCGGGCGTTTTTTGGAGGCTCCCACAGGTGCATCTGGAGAGTGGATGTGCGCTGCTGATGTGTCGGCATGTGCTGCTGACGTGTGCACATGCACCCGCTTCACCTTCACTCTGTGAGGACGATCCGCTGGCGCCTTGAACTGACCCGAGGCACGATTCTGATTCTGATTCTGATTCTGATTCTGATTCTGATTCTGATTCTGATTCTGATTCTGATTCTGATTCTGATTCTGATTCTGATTCTGATTCTGATTCTGATTCTGATTCTTATTCTGACCCGCGGACTGAGTCTGAGTCTGATTCGGACTGCCACGGTGATACGGTCTTGAATCAGACTGCGGTCCCTGCTCCACTTCTAATCCCCGCTGCTGCACTGCCACCATCTCCTCCTCGCCTGCACCCCCTTCATCTCCCAATACCCGCTCAATTCCTGCCATCCCTTCTGCCCCTTCCCCCTCCGTTGGCCCCCTACAGCAGCAACGGGGCGAGCCAGCACGGACCCATTCATAGTGATGACCACATGCCGCCTCTTCCTCCCCTGCACCTGCATGTAGCCCCCCCCTGGAGCACCGCTCGCTGCCTCACGCTGCACTGTATCCTCGTCCTCCTCAATTCCCTCCTCTTCTTCGTCCCCTCTCCTTCTTCCTCCTCTTCCCCGTCTTCTTCCTCGGCACAATCCCCATCCACTCCCCCGTCTTGAGCCCCATACTGATACCCCATCTGCTCCTGATGCCCCTGATGCTGCTCATACGTCATCTGCTGCTGACGTGGCATCCAATGCTCCGTTCCACCGTACTCCACCCCAGCATACCCCAGGCTTCCGTCTTCATCCTCCACTCCTTCCTCCTCATCCTCCTCCTCCTCGTCCTCCTCCTCCTCCTCTTCATCTTCTCCCACTTCTTCCCTTTCTCTCTCCCCTCCTGCCCCTTGCATCCCATATCCCTCCGTCCCATCATCACACACTCCGTCCTCCTCCCCTCCCTCTTCCTCCTCCTCCTCCTCTTCTTCCTCTTCCTCCTCCTCCACCACCACTTCCACCGCATCTCCATTCCCCAAACCCTGGACCCTCACTCCATACTCAACATACTCCCCTCGCATCTCCTCTCCATCCTCCTCTTCCTCCTCCTCCTCCCCCTCGTCCTCGTTCCCTCCTCCCACCTTTCCTCCCCGTCCCTCCTCTATCTGCTGACCCAGAATCAAACCCTTCCCATGCCCTCTCCCACCCCCCCTTCCGCCTCCTCCTCCTCCTCCTCTTCCTCCTCCTCCTCTTCCACCACTAACTCCGTCTCATCATCATCAGAATCAGGCTCCATCCCCGGAAGCCTGTTCTGCAGAGCCCGTCTCCTAAGCACAAACACGTTGAAATAGAAGCTCACAAGTTCCTTCACACTCCGCACACGCCTCCGCCGCCTCCCCTCCACACACATTCCCATACCCGTTATAAGGCCCCACCATCCCCCCCACCATCCCCCACACCCTCCCCCTCTCCTCCCCCAGCAGACGCAAACGCCCGCTTCAGGGGACCCCAGAAATCTAGCCCCTTGGACTGCGGGTAAAGTTCAACTATAGTCAGGAAAAGCTCCACTTCCTCAGGGCTCCACCCCTCCGCCACCTTCTCCCCCATTTCCGCCAGCCCCAACGCGTGATACGCGGCGGGCCCCAGCTCCGCCTCCAGGTCCTCGTCCGCCTCATGGCAGTGCGCGCGCACGCAGTCCGCGGACCCCGCCTTGTCCGCCCCGCACGCGGCGCACGCGCCTGGCGGAACGCGCAGGTCGCGGCGGTGGTGGTTTGTGCGGGAAGGCTGGCGCCGGGACGGGAGGTAGGGATCTTGAGGGTGGTGGTGGTCTGAGTGTGGGCTTGACTGCTCCTGCGGCTGCTGCTGCTGCTGCTGCTGTAGTTGCCACGTGGCGGATACGGGTTCGTCGTGTTGGCTGAGTGCCGCCGCCGACGGGGGCTGTGAAAACGTGGCAGGAGACTGAGCGATGGCCTCGTGCATCGCCATGGATGATGCGACGATCCCGGCGACGTCGCTCGTGCATGCGACTGCCCCTCCTGCGACTTGAGCACCGTGCGACGAGGCTCCGGCTGCAGGCGATGGCGAGTCACGAGATGTGACATTACATGGCGTGACACTACCCGTCGCGACTTTATCAGCTGCGTCGCAATCGCCTGGAACTGAACTAGAGCCGCCATCGATATTGCCGTGGGAGTCACTCACACTAATATCAGCAGCAGCAGCAGCAGCAGCAGCAACGACAACACCTCCAGCTCTCTCCCCATCAATCGGCGACCGGCCCTCGATAGCACCACCACCTTCGATAGTATGACAACCCGCGCTCTGCATACCCCGAGGTATGTGCCAGTTGACCTTCCCTCCCGCCGAAGCAGCCAACGTCCCTCCAAGCCTCAGGTACGGATTCCCCTTTCCTGCGCCTCTCCCGACCCTCCTGGACCGGGCTAGGTCCGGCCAGACCTGCGCGCCGAGCCACTTCGCCTCCCATGCCAGCTCAGCATCACACGTGGCTTCCTCGCAGCACACCCCCACCTCGCCTCCAGCCCCATCCTCCGGAGCAATCTTCCAGATGCTTTCTTCAGCCGGCATCAGACGGTGTGGAGAAGATAGCGGTTCCGGAATATCCGCCTGATAATCCGCGCCAATCGGCGGGGTCTTCCGCGTGGCGGGAACCGCGAACTGAGCATGGCGCAAGGGGGACGGCCACGGGGAAGGGGAGTTCCACGGGGAAGGGGAAAGCCAGCGGGACGGGGAGCGCCAGGGGGAGGCGGAAGCAGCCCACGGCGACGGAGACGACAGCCTGGCCGGTGAAAATGTTGACGAGAAAGTTGACGGAAAAGTCGACGGAGACGACGATACCGGAGGCCATCTGCTTTGACTCGCTGCAGCGCCGCCGTCTGGTACGGCGAAGTAAGTTGCCGCTACAGGGACGTCTTGGGAGGCGGAGTATGCTCTGGAGAAACGCCGTTCTGGAACATCTGGTTTAACCGTCGAAGGTGTGGCTGCTGCTCTGGTTGTGATTTCTCGAGCTGGTACCCCAGAATCCGGGTCCACGGAATTTGTTGGCACTGCATCTTTCGTCTCAGCGCCGGGAGTTATGTACGTCGTCCCAGCTCCACCTGACAGGTTGCTACCTTCGTTAGGTAAGACTTGATCGTCCTTAGTTACGGCTTGATCGGTAGCTTGCAAAGCATCCATGTTAATCCCTCAGTTGGGGGAAATCGCCTCGCAGCGCGTGTTTCGCTACAATTTTAGTTTGTTCTTGCCAGATTCGAGTCGCCTTTAGCTCAAGCTGACAACTATGTGTAGGAATAATAATGTAAGGATTGCCACGTGGCAGCATGGGATAGGTTCAAACTAGGGTTTCAAGACAAGCACTTCAGATCCATGAAACAGTAGCAGGCATCAAATTGGATTCAGATTGCCAACCTATTTCTGAGAACATTTTAGCGAACATCAATTTCCTCTTCGCCGGAATGTGGCGAAGCTGGACGCCCCACACGGCCAATTCGGAGAGGTTGGTTTTTCACCACTGTGGACCTTCGCCACAGTTGGAGGTTACCTGCAAGATGTCGTCAGAGCCTGATGAGGAAGGTTCACATCACACCACCGAGAATGACGTTTGCGGGATCAATAGAACACTATGTTGTACACCAAATCCTGCTTATATTGTTTTCTAAATCTCCTCATTACCACCTCGACTTCATCCTCCCAGCTTGTGAGATCTTCCAACTGCAAGAATGAACAGGGGCACATCAGATGGAACCAGCCACGTTAGTAGGAATGATGGTTGGTAGCGAAACGTGCTTGAGTGATCTTGGTGCTAGGCACATCTGCTGGATGATCCTGCTGCTCGAACTTGTGTACTATGGCCTCGTAAACATGCGTTACATGTAAACAATCAGCTTGCGCATAAACCCATCGTTTTGGAACATGGATCCATGTACTCTTGAAGTACTGACAGATGTGCCCCCTTATTGGAGTCCTCACCATCCTACACAGTCGTAGAGCCGCTTCTGCTCCAGATGCTGCTTCTTCATGCGTATCTCTAACTTCAAGGTTGATCACCAATGCTGCTTGATGTAGAGTACGCTCCCGTGCAAACATATCTGCAAAATGCCAGTAGGTGAGCACATGAATGGAACAAAATATGATTGATTAGTTCCCCATCTGACAATGTCTGTCATCCGCGAGATCACAACACCATTAATTGATGGCAGAACAGAAGCCTACACATATTGTTATATAACTCAATGCTTGTTAGGGTAGCGTGTTCCTGCAAAAAAGTTCTAACGATTTTACAGAAACTCCATTCACCAGCTGTTAGTACTTCTGCTGTCAAAAAACATTGTCAGGACCCTGCAAACGGATGTGGGCGACTGAAGGTGCAGAGAGGAAAATAGATTTCACGGCAAAATCTAGAATGGACTTCACGAAACTAGTGAGTGAGTGAGTGGACGTTATCGTTGATTAACAGTGTGTGAGTGTCAATGTGTGCATGCATGTCTAAGCGTGCCTGCATGTGTGGGTGTGTGCCTTGATGAGTGTGGTTGCGAGCCTTCATTAGTGGGGGGGATGCGTGCCTTTTGAAGTGTATGTGCGTCTGTGTGACGGATATGCATTATTTGTGTTTGCGCAGCTGCATGAGCGGGCGACGTAACTCGAGAGAGTGAGTACGTGAAAGCGCGGGAGTGCCCATGCGTGACAAAGACGGAGAGCGAGGGGGTAAGAAGTGACAGCGAGAGATATGGGTGGGTTGAGGCCGCATGCCTCCAAAAGAGAATCGGCGTGAACCCAGGTGACATACCATTCAAGTAAAAAAACAAAGAATAATAAGATGCGTCACTTGCGACCTTAACCCCTGGAGTCCTGAAACTGCCTGTCAAGCATAGAATAATAGATCTGATTCTCACTCTCCTTACCTTCAATGACCATGTCAAAGACACGCTCCTCGAACGTTATCACGACGTCGAAGGGTCCGTCAGCGGCGTTGTCCTGCCACTTTTGAGGAGCTTCCTTCACCGCAAGATTTCGCTTCAGCATTCTCAAGATGCCGTTCCTTTTGTACCTGAGTGATTGAAAATTTACGTACAATCAGCAAAAGGAGAAGTAAACATTCCTGGTGAATAAGTCGCATCGTAGAGTGAGAAAGGTCTGAGGGTCCGATGCATTCTTACAGATAGTCAAACTTCGTAGCACTCACAGTTCTGGGTCTTTGGCTTGAAGCTCCTCAAACATGTATTTGTACGGCGTGCCGAATTTATAAACATTGGGTTCTCGTATACTTGGTCCCGGCAGCTTAACGTTGGTGCCGGTACCATAAGAGCAGACGTCGAAACCCTCTCGTTGAAGAATCGCATGTGATTCCATGCTGCGATTTTGATTCGACGCACAGACCATTGCGAAACGAAGACGCATGCTGTTCGGTAGTAGGAAAAGACCCTACGGTTGAAAATCCCTAGACTTCGTCGGCTTGGAACTTATGGAAGCCGATGGAATGTCGCAGGGGAGACCACCCGGAAAACAGCACTAGAAACAGTTATGGGCGATCAACTGCCTAAAAATGATGGTAGCGATGTCATTCTCATATGCCTGAAAGGAAAAACTCGAAAACGCGAAAATGCGGTGATACCTGACTAATGTCTTAGCCTCGTGCCTGTATAAGCTGGACTGTCAGTAGAACCTGCTATACTTCTGTGTCTGTAGAACCCACATGCCCGTCTGGTGGAGGGTTTTTGTAGAGTGGGTGGGAGGCTGCTTGGTCCTTGCACCCAAGTTACGTAGGGCTCGTCACATTTGCGTGTATTCGCTGGATCGCTGGGATCCTCATTCCACGGACCGTTCGGCAGCGAACTAGCTAATGGTTCTTTTAAGTAGTTACTTCGTGTTACTAGGTAACCTGTAGCTGTATAACACTGGAACGGCGAATGGGTTGCGCGTATTCGGCCCAGATGTGCCACGCCCTTAAATCCGAACTCGAATCTCAAGTGCCACATAACACATAAATCAACATGGCTCTTAACTAAGGACAATTAGTCAATTGGATGTTCAACTAAGTTTTTTTGCTGCAACGTCTGTAACGTGGCCAAATCCGTTGAGAAGCTGGTTTGAAGGAGAAGACGACATCACTGCTGATCTCCAAAGTGCAACAAGGGGTTCAGTTGACATCTTCTCGATACCACCTCACTGGAGACGCCCTTTTAATCCCACTCCGTGGTCGAGGGAAATTACCCTCGCAGAGGCCTTCTTCTCCACCGTCTATTGTTCCATGATCATGCTTGAAGCTGGCTCAAGGCTGTCTCGGATAAGCAAGGAAAGGCCCATTATTCAGTAGCAGAGGGTGTACGCACAGGAAACCTCGAGGATTTCGGCGTTTTTAGACAAGGGAGTGACTGGTAAAACTTGAGTCAAGGTCTGCTAATCTGACGTTCTCCTTCTTTGGAACGACGGCCATCTGTCCATTTTTCCAAATTTCTTTTGCGATGTCTCGTAATGGCGCACCGGGCGCATGCGAATCGGTTTTCCGGCGTCGTCCATCTTCGACCAGATGCTTTCCTCGTTCACGTCCTCATCCTCTTGACGGATTCGTTCTCACCTCGTTTACCCTCCTTCTTCTACATCCCTTTCCCGAATAACGCTGCAGCACAAGAAGCACGCGTGAGAATAACACGCACGCACAAAATTCAAGGCTCCTAGGCGTTCCAAAGCCTGCGATGTCTCACTTCACGCCGAAGAGGAACCAAGGGAAAAGGGGAGAGCAGAACAATAAGGCAAGAGGCGGCCGTGGAGGAGCAGAGAGCCCTATCGGTGACCCCTTCGCACTCTCAAAGGAGCGTCTAGCATCGTTAGATCTGGAAGGTGGCCTAAATCAACGGTGAGGATGAAGTTTTTACATGTATGACGTATCGTCTAGCATCACTGTCGTCGTCCGCTTTCTCTCCCTTTCTTGCCCTCTTCTGTCCCACTCCCCTCTCAAGCGGTCCTTAGATTGAGGGAAACCTGGGTACATGCTAGGTCATCAGGTAGGGGGCAAGCAAGGGTACTTGACCTGAGTCTCCTTTTGCATGAGTTGCTTGCATGTGCGCATCCCTTTGCATACATGTGCACACCCCTGCATGCATGCGCACAATCGTGCATGGGTGTAGACACGTGTGACCATGCAAGCATGACCACGTACGGCTCTGAGTCAAGTCCACTGGCCTAATCCCCTGTGTGTGTCTGCGTGTATGGGTTTTCCATTGTATTTGCGCATTGCATTGCATGCATGCATGGCAGCAGGAGGGACTACTCATAGTCATGCCATGAGCTTTCTCTGCTGCTCCGCCTCTGCTACTCCCTCGTTTACAAGCCCGTCCAGTCTCACCTCTTCGCCCTTGCATGCGTGTACGCAATGTGCATGCGTGTATGTGGATCCTGCATGTATGTGCATGTGGATCCCTGCATGTATGTGCATGTGGATCCTGCATGTATGTGCATGTGGATCCCTGCATGTATGTGCATGTGGATCCCTGCATGTATGTGCATGTGGATCCCTGCATGTATGTGCATGTGGATCCCTGCATGTATGTGCATGTGGATCCCTGCATGTATGTGCATGTGGATCCCTGCATGTATGTGCATGTGGATCCCTGCATGTATGTGCATGTGGATCCCTGCATGTATGTGCATGTGGATCCCTGCATGTATGTGCATGTGGATCCCTGCATGTATGTGCATGTGGATCCCTGCATGTATGTGCATGTGGATCCCTGCATGTATGTGCATGTGGATCCCTGCATGTATGTGCATGTGGATCCCTGCATGTATGTGCATGTGGATCCCTGCATGTATGTGCATGTGGATCCCTGCATGTATGTGCATGTGGATCCCTGCATGTATGTGCATGTGCATGCATGCATGACCGCAGGAGGGACTACTCAGAGTCATGCCACGAGCTCGCTCTCCTCCTCCGCCTCTGCTACTCCCTCTCTCCCAAGCCCGTCCAAGCTCACCTCTTCGCCCTCGTACAGCAAGCCATCACAAATTTACCATGGTATACAGATTATAACTGTAAACAGTTGGTTAACAAGTCACGTTGATTATTTCTCTCGTTTATCTTGGCGTTCTGACCTCCGTTCTCACGCCCCATGTGTCCCATGGCAGCATGGACGGCGCCCTGCACAGGTCAGCAGCGCGTCAGCTCATGCAGGCGTGTCAGGCAGCGCTGCCACGTCATCGCAAGCAAGCGGTTACCAGCGAGTACAAGCGCCTCTGCGTCATGCTCGCTCGGGCAGAGAAAAAAACTTCAAACGCAGAAGAGGATTCACAAACAGACAGTCCACTTGCAACCACCGGAGAGGCACTTTCATCCCTGTCCTTAAACGAATTCTCCTCTGACGAGTATAGCCTTGAAGCGTCTCCAAGGTTGTTTCCTGCCAGTTTCGGCACCGTACCTCCCTCTATCCCCCCGCTCCCTCCTCTCCCTTCAGACATCGTTCACCTCCTCTTCTTTCATCTTGAGACCCCCTCCCTTGCCCGAGCCTCTGCTGTTTGTTCTCTATGGAGGGATATTGCAGCTTCGGCCGAACCTGCCTGGTGCGCGCACCTCGCTGCTTGCTTCGGTTCCGTGCCTGATGCCGAGGCTCGGGAGAGCAACGATGGGAAGGGAAGGTCGGGAGAGGAGGGGAGGGGCCGGCAGGAGTCATTGTGGAAGGAGCTGATCTCTCATTGTAAAACGGGTGAGTTGCTCATGCTCCAGGCTCTTCGCAACATCGCTCTTCTCGGCCTTTTTTGTGTGTATATAGAAGCTATCTTGTTTCCTTCCTCGTACTCCCCCCATGTCCACGTCCCTCTCCCCCCGTTGCCTTTTTTTCTGAAACGGTTTTTTCTCCACTTCTCCCTCCCTCCCTCCCTTATTTTCCCAGACAGCTGTCCCTTTATCCTCGCTTCAGTCCAGCTGGGTACTGTGTAGAAAATGCAGCACGTTGGCATGGATACCGAATTCTGCCCCCACGCCCCCCCCTTACCTTTCGTCTTCCTTTATCTCCAGCTGTCCCTTTATCCTCAATACAGTCCAGCCGGGTACTGTGTAGAGAATGCAGCACGGTGGCATGGATACCGAATTCTGCCCCCACGCCTCCTTCTCACCTTCCAGCGGCTTCCTCTTCCTTGGGTCGGCCGTCGGCACCACCATTAATATCAGCAGCAGTCGGGCCCTCCTCTCACTTTTCTCGAGGCAAAAATAAGGGCAGGGCTGGTAATATGTTTGAAGGGAGAAAGGCGAACGGACTTTTGGACAGCAGCTTAGCTGGTGGTGCGGTTGCTGGGACTTCTAAGTTGTATCATGTGGGACGTGATGCAGTGGGACAGCGTAGTTTGGGTAGCAGCAGCAGCAGTGGTGGCAGCGTCAGTGGCGGTGGCGGCGGCGGCAGCAGCATCAGCTACGGCAGCAGTGGCAACGGCAGCGGCAGCGGCAGCAGCAGCAGCAGCTGTGGCAGCAGTGGCAATGGCAGCGGCAGCGGCAGCAGCAGCGGTGCAGCAAGGTTCTTCGGGCGCACGTGTCGTGTGAAGAGCACAACAAGACGAGGGTACCGACTGCAGCAGCACGTGTGGAGACTCGCCGGCACATCAATGGTGAGGGCTGGCGATGGAGTTTAGAGGATGCAGTTTCAGTCGAACAGAATATGCGAGGCAGCAGCAGGGTAGGGAAGCTTGATCTGGCGCACGATTCGTGTGAAGAGCACAGAGAGACGAGGGTTCTGACTGCAGCTGCACGTGTGGAGACTCGCCGGCACATCGAAGGTGAGGCTTGGTATGCGGACTTAATGCAGCAGAACATGAGACGCAGCATGAGCCGCAGCAGCAGCGGTGCTGCAGCGTTCTTTGGCCGCATGTGTTGTCTGACTAGCGCAGAGGGACCGAGGGTACTAACTTCAGCAGCACGTGTGGAGGCTCGCCGGTGCATCAAAGGTGAAACTTGGTCAGCAGTGGCGATAGAATATTAGCTGTGGGACCTCTCAGAACTAAGCTTCTACCACACAAGGCTTGGCGTGATAGAAGGTCGGGGCTTTCAGAAGGACGGTGCACTTTTGCCTCTTGTGTCATGCAAAGAGCTTTGAAGTACCCTCGAATCTCAAAACCATGCCCGGCCTCGTTTTCTTGCACAAGGTTCTTTCGCTGCTTGTGTTGTGCCAGGTGCACAGCCAAACCGGGTTACCAGATGTGGGAACAACTTTGCAGTCTGCAGCACCTGATGGGGGCATGTCAGAGGCGAGAAAGCGAGAAAGTGGGAAAGTGAGAAAGCGAGAAAGTGAGAAAGTGAGAAAGCGAGAAACTGAGAAAGCGAGAAATTGAGAAAGCGAGAAAGCGAGCAAGCGAGAAAACGAGAAAACGAGGTCTGGCTTGCTTGCTTGGTATTGATAGTTGAGGGTATTGTAGTGATTGGTCCGGCTTGCTTGCCAGTGAGGCATGGTGCCTACCTTGCATACGAGACTGATTGGGGATCACCACATCCATGCACAAGTGAATGCATTGGCTTTGTGCTGCCTGCTGGTGGTACGTCGACCTCTCTGCTGCCTCCTGCTCCTCCTCCTTTCCGCACCTTTGTTCTTTCTCCTTGTGCTCATCCTGCCCCTCCTTGTGCTCATTCCATTCCCTATCCTTCTGCTCTCATTTCTCTGACCCCGAGTGTTGTGGTAGGTCGTTGCATCCCTCTCTGACGACTTTGAGGGTGGCGAGGAGGATTCTAGTGATGATGATGACATGAAGTGTGGATTCTGGAACAGGCAGAGCTGATTGCCAGTCGCATGCATCTCGATTTTGCTAGGACCCAGTATGCAACAAAAGGGTCAAGTCAAATGCTCATTTCTTGTGGGGCTTGTTGAGAGTGGTATATAAGTGGTAGGTGTTGGGCTGAGAAAATGCCCTTAGGATCTTTCCAGAGATTAAGTCCCAGTTGTAAAAGGAGACTTTGAGCAGTGCAGCGGAAGTTGAGTAGTTGATATCAGAATTGAAATTTGAATAATGGATAGAGTGAGAGTACACAAAGATATACCTAAGTGTTGTACTCTCTAAGAGGCGACCCTATACAGTCTATACAAACATGACAAATACACATGTTTGACACACCCCCTAGACTGCATAGGGGAATGCCCTAAACAAACAGCTCAGGGCGGCACTACTAGTCCAACCTCTGAGACTAGGGTCTGAGAGACCAGTCAGAAGGAGTACAGACAAGGCAAGAACAAGGGCAGGGCGGCACTACTAGTCCAGCCACTGCGAGAGGACACAAGTCCAGTCTGAGTATACGTATAAAGGACAGTACAAAGTCAAGGTCCTAGCAAGTGAGAGGCTACAGGAACTAGACCAAGCTGTACACAGTGCCGCTGATGATCTTTAGGCGCAAGCGCCTTCGTAAAGATATCAGCCGTGTTGGCACCTGAGGCCAAGTGTACTACGCGAGCCTGACGTCGCTGCTGTAGCTCACGCAGGAGGAAATACCGCAGCTGAATGTGCTTCGCTCTGCCCTCGAGTCGAGGCTCCTGGCGCAGGAGGATCATGGCCCTGTTGTCAGCGAACAGGACCGGGGCAGAGCTAGGCCGCTCACCTAAGTCAGTGAGCAAGAAGGTCAGCCAGCGGAGCTCCTGTGCCGCCATGGCACCAGCGTAGATCTCGGCCTCACAGCTGGACTGCGCAACAGACGAGGAGCGGGTAGCTCTCCACGAGACGGCACCTGAGCCAAGGCTGAAGCAGTAGCCCTGGGTAGACCTGAGTGTCTCGGCGTCGTCTGCCCACGAAGCGTCTGTGTGTCCAGTAAGGACCACTGGCCTGCGTCCTCCTAGCACTAACCCCATGCCCGATGTACTAGCAAGATAACGCAAAACCCTCTTAGCAGCAGATCAGTGCTGCGGTCGGTGTCTGCCTGTGGCCACAAAGCGAGCCAGGATGCTGAGAGGGTATGCGAGATCTGGGCGAGTGCAAGTCATCATGTGAGAGTACGACCTCGTTACACCACTTGGCCTTTTCCATATTTCATCTTCATTTCATTCCTCTTTTTATCTCATCTCATTTGGTCTCATATTCCCCATTTTCCATTATCCTTTGGTTTCTTCCCTTATTATAATTATATCACCGACCAGGCATGGAATGTTCTAGACACGCTATCTAGCGTAATCCTGCCGTAATCCCTTAAAGCCAATAGCCTCGCGTGGCTATACGCAGGGTGATTCTATATTCTAGAAGGGTCTATTCCTTTAGATAGGATAAAACCTGGTTACCTGATGTACTCTGGAAGTATAAAAGCGCCTTGTACTGATCGATAGTGCAATCGATCCTCGAGTCATTCGATCCTGTGACACATCAGGTACATGAGGCAACCCACCAGCTCTGCGTAGGGGCCGCTGGGCTCTACCAACTCCTCAGACACTGGAGCGGAGAGTCTGTGGTCTACAGGCAGAGGGGTGGGCTGTGCAGAGGAGAACTGAAGGCTGAACCTCTGAAGGACCTGGCGCACCAAGTGTGACTGAGTCAGGGTGATGGTGCGCGATGCTCTGTCCCTGGAGATCTGCAAGCCAAGGTAACGGCGCAGTTCTCCAAGGTCAGTGCACGTGTGTCTCTTCAGCAGCTCTGCCTTCACGGAGGCCAGTGCGTCCCTGTCAGCTGTGGCAAAGACCAGGTCGTCGACGTAAACAAGGATGTAGAACGGAGTCTGGCCAGCACGAACGAAGAGTGAAGGGTCTGCGGAAGACGGAAAGAACTGCAGGTCAGCAAGCGTAGCACGGAGAGTGTCGTGCCACTCACGGGGAGCCTGGCGCAGGCCGTAGACGGGGCGCCGCAGGAGCCACTGGGTCCCAGGAGGGAAGGTGCCAGTGAAGCCCTGAGGGCGCCGCAGGTAGACCTGCTCGTATAGGCTGCCCTGAAGGAAGGCAGTGGACAAGTCAAGAGAGTGAAGCTCGTAGTCACGCTGAGCAGCTAGGTGTAACAGAACCCGAAGAGTAGTCATCTTCGGGGTCGGAGCGAAGGTCTGGAAGAAGTCCACCCCCTCGCGCTGACTGAAGCCTCTAGCCACATAGCGCGCTTTGAAGACAGGCGGCTCTCCAGGAGGGCGTTTCACCTTGAAGAGCCAGCGGCCATCGACTACGTTCACCCCAGGTGGGGGAACTGCGTCGACGAAGGTGCCGGTGGATCTCCAAGATGCCATCTCCTGCTCCATGGCAGCTATCCACTGCGAGGCCCAGGGTCCCGAAGTTGCCTCAGCGTAAGTGCGAGGGGTCGGGATGTCGAAAGCGTCTGGGTCACCCTCAGGGACTAGAAGCATGGAACAGAGATGGGGAGCAGCCTCGGAGAGGAAAGCAAGCTCGAACTGGCGGTCCTCCAGGACGTCACTGCCAAGGGCAGGAGCACCCCCGACAAACGGAGGACAGGCAGGGTCAGAGACCAGAGCGGAGGCGTAGTCAAGGCGGCGGGTAGAGGCGAAGTCAGCGACAGCAGCGACAAGAGCGTCAAGGCACGAGGTCGGAACAGACGGGTCGGTAACGAGAGAGGCAAGGACCCGAGGAACAAGGGGACGAGCGGCACGAAGGTAGTCAGACAGCGGGGGGGGTGCAACAACAAGGGAGGACGGAGGAGGCGACGGCAGAAGGGGAGGACGAGACGCGTGGGAACGAAGCAACATAGGGTGAGAGCGCAAGACAGGCGAGGCATGACGAGCACGGGAGGGGGACAGAGGAGGGAGACGGAGGAGTCGGGTCAGGAGACAGAGGAGGGGACACAGGAGGGGAACGAGGGGGGAGACGGGCCGGGGACGAGTCCGGCGGAGGGAAGACAGGGCCGTAGACAGGAAGAGGAGGAGACGGCCAGGGAGGAACCGACGGAGGTTCGGGGGACGGAAGGCCGAGCAGGCGAAGGGCTGACACCGGCGGGGACTGCTGCTGCGGCGGCACAACGGCGACACCGGGACCGCAAGCTGCTCCTCGGCTACCACCGGCACTCTCCACACCAGCACCCCCAGAGGGACCACCCCCAGGGCTACCGGGACGAGCACCCCCAGAGTCAGCGAACGGGTGCTGCGACGGCGGCGGCGGCAGCGGCGGTAGTGGCGGCGGCGGCAGCGACAACGACGGCTGCAGAGGCGGCAGAGGCGGTGGAGGAGGGGACTGGGGAGGGGACACCGGGGGAGGGGCAGCCGGGGAGGACTGCACAGGAGGGCCACCAGAGTCGGAAGACTCCTCAACCGGGTCCACCGACGGAAGGGGGGTGACGTGGGACACACTAGAGGGGGCGGGACGCAACTGGGCTAGGGGCGAGAGGGGTGAGCGGAAGCGATAGGTGGGGGGGGATCCTACCTACGCGTGATACCATATCAGAATTGAAATTTGAATAATGGATAGAGTGAGAGTACACAAAGATATACCTAAGTGTTGTACTCTCTAAGAGGCGACCCTATACAGTCTATACAAACATGACAAATACACATGTTTGGCAGTTGAACCCTTGTACTAGTATGTGAGAACAAGTGACTGATTAAAGGAAACAAGCATACCGTAAACGCCCGGATATAAGACCGGTTTTATTGAGGACCCATAGGGTGTTTTTGGCGGGTAGGTTTTTTATTATGGTAATCGACTAACAAGACCCCCCCCCTTTTCAGTGTAGCCGGCTTTAGGCCCTCTTCGTTTTTTTTTTTCCCGTGAATTCCGTAGCAAATGTAAAGTACGGCGGGAAGCGAGCAAGAAGGAAATAGAAAGGGGGCTGCGGGGAAACAGTAGTGGGAAAGAGGAACTAGAAAACATTTTGAAATGTGAGGAGCGAGGGCTTGAACGCTCACAGAAGCGTGGGGTGGGGTGGCAATTCGCCAAGTGGCAAGTTTCCGTCCAATCAAAACGAAGGCAATAATTTTCTCACTGTGTTGAAGCTGGAGACAGAATCCAAACCGTCGATCGATACTGTGACAAATCGGATCGCCTCCAATATGTTTCCCAATGGGGTTCCCGTCAAATCAAATGCACACTTGAACGAATCAGATTCCAACATGTCGCGGCTGCTTGATTTTTGGGCACAAAAGAGCGAGAATGGGCCTGAGTACTCGACAATGAGTCAGGAATGTAAACGAGTAACAAAAATACATGCACAAATTGAACTATATATGTGTACAAGATATCACCCGGGTAATTTATTTTCAGGTTTCCTTATAAGACTCACCCCCTTTTTTAGCTAGTAAACGAAAAAAGACCCTAGGGTCATATATCCGGGCGTTTACGGTACATCAATATATAGAAAGTAGGAAAGTAAAGCAGTTGTAGAATACAGTTAAAAGAGTGTTTATCGAGTCGCACAGCGACTCGATTGTCGGTTCTGTTACCATCCTTGCAGTTGTAACGGTCAGTCGCCACCTCCGGTTGCGACCCTTCGAGTCCTTTCGTGTTCTTTGTCCGCCCCCTCGTGTAACCTCCGTTGACTCGCGTACCCGTTACGACTTTCCTCGAGTGTAGTGCTACACTTCAGAAACGCTTAAGTCCTTGAGATATTTCCAACACTCCCCTTCGTTTCTGGAGTGCTGACGTGTCCAGATTCGGCGACGTTTATCTGCCCGGTCAGTAGCATGCAGTAGTCGAACTTTGCTTTCGCCAGTTTCTTCGTCAAGTAGTCTGCAGCCATTTCTGTCGTGGGGCAGTAACTGAGTTGAAGTCTCCCCTTCGCGATTTCATCCTTGACGAAGAAATACCGCAGGGCGATGTGTTTGGTTTGGTTGGCGAAACCGTCTTTGTTCGCGATTTTGATCGCGGATTGGTTGTCGCAGAAGAGTGAGAAGAAGGGCAGGGTTGCAATCTTTGCTTCCTCGAGCAACTCTCGCAGGTAAAGTCCTTCCTTGGTCGCAGTGCAGAGGGCGATATATTCTGCTTCAGCCGAAGATAGTGCGATTAGTTCCTGCTTGCTCGACTGCCAGGAGATAGTCCCGATAGGCTCTAGTCGGTAGCCCGCCTTGATCGTCGATTTTCCCTGTCTCCCGCGTGGTCGGCGTCG